TGGGGCATTAATGAAATACAAGTCACTGATTTGGGTTCTTTTTTCTAGGTCCCTGGGGTGACAGGGTTAAGTGATAACAAAATTAAAAATGTTATACAATATTAGGAATAAACTGTCATGTCTTAGGAACAAATAAAAGCAAGAAAGATGACATAAATCAAAGTTTATAGAGCTTGAGCCCTGTCATGTTGGTTTCTTCTGGAGCGTTCACAACATGCAGAGAAACGCACACATATGGTTTTAAAAAATATTCAATAAAGTAACGCTCACATTATGTGAAGAAATGTGCCATGTTGTGTATTTTCCAGCTCTCTTCTCTTCTGCCCTCTACCCCCCAAAAGAGCATAAGGCTTCAACCAAATCACACCAAGTCATTCTATCCTTCGCTAATGCATGCAGGTCTCCCCATGTCCTCCCCCATCTTTTAAACCTCACTCTCCAGCTGACTTTTTTATTCTCATTATCTTTGTCTTTCCCTTATGGATTCATGTGTTTTTGGACTGCCTTTATTTCCATGCCCCATATAATGTTAGAAGTTATAATATGGTGGTATAATATCATCATTGTTATTTTCTCGTCCTTTTTAGGATGAAGTTTTCCGTATTTGAATCCCTACTCTGGCATTTGCCAGGGGCCGCAATAAATATGGCCTAAAGGCTGAACGCGGTTTCTTGGATCTCTCCACGGTGATCCTCACACACATGGTGGCACATTGTGTCATCGGGTGTTTATCGCTTGTGTGATGTCCTGGTGGGGTAGAAAGTCAGTCAGCCAGCCATGCCCCTGTTGGTTCCAGTGCAAAACATTCTAGCTACACAGTTCTCAAGTTTTTTCAACGTGTCCTATCCAGCTGCTGGCCCTATAATAATGTTGTAAAACAGTAAAACTGAAGGACTCTTGTCATGTCACTGGTGCAATTGACATATGACATACTGTTATAGACCAATAATCAGCACTCAATGGATGATGTGGTTAGCATTACGTCAGCCATACTGATTCCAGAATATTTCCTACTACCAATTTTAGGTGAGTTGTTAGTGACCCGAAGCAATATATTTTTGGTTGGCACCATTCTGACTTCATAGAGATAGTGTTATACTGCGCTTTGAGGAGGCATGGGACTCACAGCCCATGGCGATGGCGGGTGTGACTAACAAGACCTGCCTGTGTTGAGAAAAGACTTTCACAACTGCCGCATGGGACTCAGAAGCCCTCATCTACGCCAACTTACAAAAACGTATAGCCCATAACTGCTACCTCGCAATTTATTTCTGAGAACAATTAGGGCCAGGGATGAAGTTCCTCCTCTCCATAGCACAAAGTCTGGGCAGTTTTCTAGAGACCATATGTTGCCCATGCATCATGATTCCTCCTTCGGAATGCCTTGTTTACTCCAAAGAAAAGTTAACACCAGCATGTCTGGAACAAAGCACGCAGCAGAAGCTGCCAGATCAGAAGAGCAGGGCTTCGTCTGTTAACCTGTCGAAGCTTGCCTTCTAGACCAGCTGCCAGCCAAGGCTAAGGGCCTGGTCTGCCCTACCACAACATACAGTTTTTACTTTGCATTTCCTCTTCCTAGGATAAGGCTAGTATCCTTACAAATGTGATTCTCCGAAATAATATATATACACACACACATATATATATATATATATATATATATACATCTATATATGCATGCCCGGCTCGCTAGCGCAGTTGACTAAACCGGACTGCGCTGCGACTGGGTGACAAACTCCTTGTGGTCCAGGCATAATAAAGTAGTCAACACAATACTGGTCACACCCTTAGAACCTGACTGTTTCAAAAATCAGAAGAGAGAAAAGAAAGATATCTTCTTTGCTTTTACAAGCAGAAAAGTTTCTTAGTATGCCCAGTCACCCTATGAATGAAAGATTCCAAAATTTAGCTTTGGGACGACTAAAGAGAAGTAGTTTTATCCACCAGGCCAAATGGCTCGGCAGACAAACCACTGATTTACCTGCAACTGATAGATCCTTAAATGCTGTCCCAGAACGGACCCCCTGGAGAGAGGAGTATAAGTTTCCAATACACATCAAGACTGAAGTGAAAGGGGTATTTGACAAGGAAGAACAAAACAGTGTGCAGCGCAAAACAGCCACCCTCAGTCTACTTGATGATGAATACCCGCAGAACCTTTGGGTCCGTGTTTACACAGATGGGTCAGCAGAAAGCGCAGTCAGAAACGGAGGTGCGGGAGTGTACATTGAGTATCCTAATAATACCAGGGATACAGCCAAATTACCAACGGGAAAGCACTGTCACAACTATGATGCAGAAGTTCAAGCCATCAAGATAGCGGCAGAGAAACTACTAAATACAAGGTATTTTTCACAACCAGTGGTATTCCTGACAGATGCAAAAGCAGTACTTCAGTCACTCCAGTCTGGAAAATTACCAAGCATACGGACACTATTATCCGAACTAGGCAACCGCTGTAAATTAGTAATGCAGTGGATACCTTCCCACTGTGGAGTTCCCGGAAACGAAAAAGCTGATAAACTAGCTAAGGAAGGTGCAACTGAAGAACAACCTAATATACTAGTCTCTTATCAACAGAAGAAGAGAATGATCAAATCAATCAGAATGCCACCGAAACTGGCACAAGATGATTACCATATTATGGACAGACCAGAGCAAGTCATTATCCTTCACCTTAGAACAGGGCACAATCGATTTCACTCCCACATGTACAACAAATTTAAGATATCTTCTTCTTCAAATTTTTGAATTTTAGAGGTACTGATAATATGTTACTTCATTCTCACTGACAATGTCAGATTGTTCTACACATATTTTAAACCTTTTATTACAAGTTAGAAATGATTGTTAAAACAAAGGGCAGAAAGCAGGATGGGTTCTGCAGAACCAGTTTTGAATCTTTAAAAAAAAAAAGATATATTTGCTTGCTTGCTTGTTCTCCTGACAACACCTAACGAAATGAATGCTTGCTCACGTCACAGTACACAACAATTATGCTGACTAGATACGTGAGCACCACTCTATACGAGCAGCACTCAGAAAGTAACGCCCTGCAACTTTTTTCTCAGTAAATAATCAAACTAAGAACATGACATTGTGCATGCTTCAAATCTGAAATGTCAATATTAGTTGTACGAAATAGAAACTCACTCTTACAAAAATAACAGCCGCTCTAATCCATTAAACAACAAGATGAGAACAAAGTGTGTTACAAAAAGCAAACTGTTGTAACATTGCAGGTCACAGAAAAGGGAACTGGTAAACAGTCACACATATTTGTTTGTGTATGGAAGTTGTCCAGAACTGGTGAACATTCACACTGTTTGTGTATGGAAGTTGTCTGGAACTGGTGAACATTCACACATATTTGTTTGTGTATGGAAGTTGTCCGGAACTGGTGAACATTCACACATATTTGTTTGTGTATGGAAGTTGTCTGGAACTGGTGAACATTCACACATATTTGTTTGTGTATGGAAGTTGTCTGGAACTGGTGAACATTCACACATATTTGTTTGTGTATGGAAGTTGTCCAGAACTGGTGAACATTCACACATATTTGTTTGTGTATGGAAGTTGTCCGGAACTGGTGAACATTCACACATTTTTGTTTGTGTATGGAAGTTGTCCGGAACTGGTGAACATTCACACATATTTGTTTGTGTATGGAAGTTGTCTGGAACTGGTGAACATTCACACATATTTGTTTGTGTATGGAAGTTGTCCGGAACTGGTGAACATTCACACATATTTGTTTGTGTATGGAAGTTGTCCGGAACTGGTGAACATTCACACATATTTGTTTGTGTATGGAAGTTGTCCGGAACTGGTGAACATTCACACATATTTGTTTGTGTATGGAAGTTGTCCGGAACTGGTGAACATTCACACATATTTGTTTGTGTATGGAAGTTTTCTGGAACTGGTGAACATTCACACATATTTGTTTGTGTATGGAAGTTGTCCGGAACTGGTGAACATTCACACACATTTGTTTGTGTATGGAAGTTGTCCGGAACTGGTGAACATTCACACATATTTGTTTGTGTATGGAAGTTGTCCGGAACTGGTGAACATTCACACACATCAGTTTGTGTATGGAAGTTGTCCGGAACTGGTGAACATTCACACACATCAGTTTGTGTATGGAAGTTGTCAGGATGACTATAGCACCGTTGGTCACTGGGTTCAGAGAGTTAAAACTTCAGAAAGTGGACTGATGGACCTGATCATTATATTAAAGCTGTGAAGAAATGGTTAGGTGAATAGAGGAGAAACCTGATACAGGCAAATTATATATGCTCTTGTTTTGAGTCGGCGTTTGCTCACACAAGTTGACTGAGATTAAAAATAAAATTATAATGTGTATAGGACACGAGCTATACTGCCAGGAAATTTCACACATTTTGCACAAACAGTTTTTGCGAGTAAAACAATGTGGGCATTACTTTATGACTTTTCTTCTTCTAAGTGTTGACCGGCTTTAAACCGTGACAGAAGGCTCTGGTTGTTGGTCTGGTCCTGGTCTTTGATCTTGATCCAGAGCTTGAGTTTTGCCAGTGCATCAGTTTTCAGGTGCAGCAAACTTGTGTGCAGACTGTCAGTTCCTTTTCTTGCCCCTCAGGCAGACACACTCCAACTTTGAAGAACACATTCCTCATAAGTCACCTTCTAGGTCATGCTTGTCAGAGGGGCAGTGGAGCTGTTCTTTGTTCTTCAAAAAGGCACCTCTGAACTCATAGAAGAAACTTTCTGAATTCCCCCTTGTAAGCTTTCCCTCCCTCCCTCCTCTCCACTCCACCTCACCCACGCATGCACGTACGCGCACATACACACACACACACACACACAAACAAAATAACAAAAGCAAATATTAATAAAGCTAAAATCAAAACACACAAGACAACTACAGTACAGCCATGCAACAGCTCTTTCAGCCTTCTACCTGTTCTTCTTCTTCTAACAAATATGACAGCAAGAAACAACCTGTTACTTACCCTGAGCGAGCGGTCGTATGAGGCACTGAAGACTTTTGTCCCTGAAGCAGTATGCAACACAGCCAGTGCATAGACTGTCCCTGAGTGGCCCATTAATGTCTCCAGTTGGTTGAATGTGTTCAGTTCCCAAACCTGGCCAGAAAATATTAAATTAGTATTAACTGCTGCTTGCATATCAACCCTGTCACCAAAGAAGACTAAATGTAGTCACTTCCGGTTGTGACAAAGTCCCCCAAATGCTGGTACATCAGCCTGTCTGTAGTGACCTATTCTCAAATAGCATAGGTAATTTACATTGGTCCTTTTTGCACCTGCACAGTGTTTAATCAACCAGGATATGAATACAGTAACTACAAATGACATCTAGGGGGTTTCCTTATGACCCAAAAGGCTTTTTAAAAGCCAAATTGACGTCAAATTTTCTCATAAACCTCAGACATAGAGGTCATGGCATGCGTCATCAAACACATATTGTTTGTTTAGGCCCCAAAGATGTGTTCTATTGGATGCTTCACCCTGTGTTTATTGATTACCTCTTTAATGAACCTTTATATATTTTTGGAGGAAATTTATTAGTGACCTGTGTTTTTTTTTTAAATTCAAGAAAATTCCATTTGTTCATAACCCACTTTTTTTTAAGCATTCACAGGATGAAAGGATCAACTAAGCCCATAAGGGAAACAAAGAATAGTAAGACTGTAACCTACTACACTGCTTGTGTGTGTTACTGGAGCCCTTTGGGAAAATAAAAACTTGACCTTTCAGATTATAGTATTATACTGTACCACAGAAAGATGTCTCCATGGCTAAGTAGTCAAGCAATTTGTCTTGTGCTCTGATGGTCCTCACGGACATTCAGTTCACAAATGTAACTTACCAAGATTTATGAACAAGCTGAGTCTGTGAATTAATCGACACTCTCAGCATGTGGGTAGCCATGCTGCAAAGAGGGACAGAGTAATATTAGGACACATGCCTGTACTATAAAGTTGATCCTCTCACCTTTAGTGCTTTACGAAGGCATGGGGAATCACATTTCAAGAAGGTGAATGTTGCTAGCAAGACCATCTGCTTCTTATCAATTATCCCCAGTTCAACCTTTTCACCTGGGAACCTAAAAGAAATAGGTATGGCCTTTTAGGAATCCCCCACCCCCCCCCCCCCCCCCCCACCCCCCCCCCCCCCCCCCCAGCGCACTATTTTTTTTTTAAAAAGCATATTTTACACGGAACACACATTTTGAAAAAAATTTTTTATCTACCTCTCTAATTTTTGGGAAATATATAAAGATATATATATAAAAAAGCAATCAATAAACATGATTAGAATAAAGAATTAAATACATTACCCACAGCTTAAAAACCATATGTATCTGGCCGGTGACTCATGCTGTGACCTACATCACTGAGGCTTATGGAATACTTAACCTCAACTTGGCTTCAAAAAGCCATTTGTTCCTCAGGAAACCCTCCTAAATGCTATATTTAGTAAACATACTCCACTTCCTGACCAAATACATGCTGTGTCTCAAAAACAGGTTAATGCAGAAATGTCGGTTAAGTGGCACTCTCCGGAAATCGGAACCTGCTGGAAGTGCCAGGTGGGTAACCACCTGGGGTGAAAGGGTTAAATGGTGCAGTTTGCTCCCTTTTTTCTCACTCTTTCTCTCTTATTCACTCTCTCATATGCAAGCACATGTACATGCACGTGCACAAGCACACACAAGGATTTGATTTCCATGGCAGGTGGTTTAGTGAAATACTGTTCTCTTGACTATTAGACAGTGGTATGAGAGTTTCACAGTGGAAGAGATTTCGGCCTTTCATATAATATTCCAACAGTTAGTAGTGGATGTAATGCACTCAGTCCCCAGTGTAGACTAAAGTAAACGATCCTTATCTATGCCTCCTATTGGGCATACAGGGTTAGATCTATATTTTACAGACCAATCGGCACTTGGTGGACAAAGTGGTCAACATCACGCCGGCTGCCTTTACTTCTCAGGACTTTATCTGGTACCCACTTGAGGCTAGGTTGACCTGGGAGAGAAAGTCACCTTTGGAAGGAAATAAAAGTCTGGCTTCATTTAGATTTAAACCCACAATCTTCAGATCCAAATGTGAGTGTCTAGCCGTTAACAGCTGCCACTGTGGAGACCGCAAACAAAACAAAAAACCAACTTATATTGAGAGAAAACGTGTGTGTGCATGTGTCTATATATACATACATATATATATATATATACACACACAAAACACAAAATGTCTAAAAATAAAACTTACATGTATGCAGTTTTCATATGTCCCACACAGAATATGATGGTTGGTTATGGCAATGCTGTAAACACTGCCTCCGGAAGTTTCCAAATCACGTACACATTCCAGTGTATTGATGTTCCACACCTGAGCAAAATACATCAAAGGAAACATTTTAATGAAAGCCACAAGAACACTGCTGATCATGAAGAAGACATGTTTTCACTGTTATGAATAATATGATATACATATATAGATGTGATATATAGATAATTTAAACCGATCGACAGTGAGGATAGGGGTCGTCACTGGCCAGAGGGTTGAGCCCTGGCACAGAAAGATAATTAACATAATATGACTGGCACTGATCCACAGGTCACTTGCTAGGCCTCCCGCGGGTCACTTGCTAGGCCTCCCGCGGGTCACTTGCTAGGCCTCCCGCGGGTCACTTGCTAGGCCTCCCGCGGGTCACTTGCTAGGCCCCCCCCGGGTGGCTAGTTTAAATGCCCTGTGCTATATGATGATGAATAAGCGCTAGATACCCAACATACCTTGTGGCATGAAACAGTGTCCTTGACACTGCTGATGCCTTCACTGACAGTCAGTAGTTGACAAGCTTACCTTAACCGTCTGATAGGAGCCGCTGAACAAGTACTCGGAGGTGGCTGATAAGGCTCGAACCCAGTGGTTGAGTCCTGTCAGTTCTTTCTTTAGGTCATACGTATGCACATCATACACCTGAAAATTTCAATCATACAGAGATCTGGATTAATCACAGAAAGGAACTTAGACCAATCACAGTCATACACATAGAACTTGGACCCATCACACACAGGTCAGACCAATCATAGTCATACACACAGAACTTGGACCCATCACACACAGGTCAGACCAATCACAGTCGTACACATAGAACTTGGACCCATCACACACAGGTCAGACCAATCACAGTCATACATAGAACTTGGACCCATCACACACAGGTCAGGCCAATCACAGTCATACACAGAACTTGGACCCATCACACACAGGTCAGACCAATCATAGTCATACACAGAACTTGGACCCATCCACACAGGTCAGACCAATCACTGAATCATGTAGAAAACAGATTAATCACTGAATCATGTAGAAAACAGATCATTTACTGAATCATGTAGAAATCAGATCAATCACTGAATCATGTAGAAAACAGATCAATCACTGAATCATGTAGAAAACAGATCAATCACAGAATCACACACAAAACAGACTAATCAAAGAATCACATAAAGAACTTATATCAGCCTAATCACAGAATCACATACAGAACTAGACCAGACCATTCACAGAATCATGCAGAAAACAGGCCAATCACAGAATCACAACACAAAAAACAGACCAATCAAATAATCACATAAAGAACTTAGACCAGACCAATCACAGAATCATGTAGAAAAATAGGCCAATGACCAAATGACACACAGAACTTATACCAATCACAGAATAATGTTTAACTCTTTCAATCCCAATTACTGTCCCCCCCAAAAAAATTTTTTTTTAAATACGATAGACAATGTAAAATGTAGTTAAATAATATAAAGCAACGATGAGACAGTAAAATACTGTCGAAATTAAAGGAAGATAATACAATGAAAATATAAGATCGTTAAAGACCAGTAAATGACAGACGATATAGGGAAACTATAGGATAGTAAAAGATTGGAAAATAAAGTCATATAATATAGCACAATGACAAGAAAGTCAAAGAATTGTTGAAAAAAGCTATATATTGTAATATAATGATAGGATAATAAAGATCTAATGAAAACAAAGGCAGATAATATAGCACAATGAAAAGATAGTAAAAGAATATTTAAAAATAAAACAAGCTATATAATTTAACATAATGATAAGATAGTAAAGGTCTTTGGAAAAATAAAGGCATAAAATTCAGTGCAACAACAAAACAGAACTAATCTATAACCATTAAAATAAAGCAGCTTCTTCTTCTTCTTCTTCAATCCTTCTGTCAGAAAACTTATATCAGTAGACCGGTAGCCTTTATGAAAGCTATCGTGCAATCCATATCCTCTCGTGTACCATACAGTTTTGTCTTTAGTGTGGTTGGAACAGGCCAGATTGCGTCTCTGTTGTCAGCATACAGTTGAGCAATGAACTAGTTTGGCAAACACATTCAGCTAAGGTAATGAATACAAGAACAAGTCAAGAAAAAACAACCTTTTTCATACCAGTGGTGATTTGGGCATATGATGTTACATTCACATTTTTATAAATCAACTGCCACTCAATGGGTGATGTGGTCAGCATCCCGGTGGCCGGCTTTACTTCCTAGGACTTTTCGTGGTAACCATTTCAAGCTGGGGTGATTTGGGGCCAAGATCATTCAAACACCAAAATAAAAAACATCAACTCACTTCTTTTTGTTCACTGGTTGTATACTCTGGCCAAAGGTTCTTCACTTTGGTCTGATTCCAAAACCTGAGTTTTGCATGTGCATATTTGTATGCAGACTGTTGGTTCCTGGCCACTCAGGCAGATGCATTCTGATTTGAGAGGGAGGGAGTGTGTCTGCTTCCCCCCCCCCCCTCCCTTTTCATCCTCATGGGCATCAGAATTGCAACTATGAATTCAAACCCAAGATCTTTGGGCCAGCAGATAAGCATCTAGCCACTACCTAATCATGGCTTCAATGATAACAACATAACAGATACATCCAGCAGATACATAACACATCAATAAAATACCAACCCTGATCACTTTGAGAGAGCCACTGAAGAGCATGTTACTTGCTGTCACTAGGGTACACACAGGGTTGTCATGAGCTTTGATTGTGTGTGAGTACTCAAATGTGTCCACATTCCACACCTTCAACATAAGACAGAAACAATGATATTGTCAAAACAGAACATTTGTAAAGGTAATTTTTCTTTTTCAGTTAGAACTTCTGTAAAGGTAATTCTTCTTTACCAGTTAGAACATCTGTAAAAGTAATTCTTCTTTACCAGCTGGAACATTTGGTATAGGTAATTCTTCTTTAAAAGCTGGAACATTTGTATAGGTAATTCTTCTTTACCAGCTGGAACATTTGTAAAGGTAATTCTTCTTTACCAGCTGGAATATTTGTAAAGGTAATTCTTCTTTACCAGCTGGAACATTTGTAAAGGTAATTCTTCTTTAAAAGCTGGAACATTTGTATAGGTAATTCTTCTTTACCAGCTTAAACATTTGTAAAGGTAATTCTTCTTTACCAGCTGGAATATTTGTAAAGGTAATTCTTCTTTACCAGCTGGAACATGTGTAAAGGTAATTCTTCTTTACCAGCTGGAACATTTGTAAAGGTAATTCTTTTTTACCAGCTGGAACATTTGTAAAGGTAATTCTTCTTTACTAGCTGGAACACTTGAATAGATACTACTTCTTCTATTCTTTACCTCTCACTGAAGCACAGAACATCAACCAACACATGCTGAGTTGCCCTAGTTAAACCATCTTCTTCAACTCATTTAATACCAGGATGGTTAACATGGAAAACAAAATACCTGAACAAAATAAACGAATGAAAAAAACTGTATTTTTGATGGGTTAAGAATTGGGCACGAAGGCCAGTCTAACATTCCGTCTTTTTAGACCCACTCCTGGCATACACATTCACTCATAAATTACTTCATAGGTATGGAGGCACATATACAGGGTGTATTTTTAATGACTGTATTTTCTGAAAATACTGCTGTTCCTATTTTTGTAATCACCGTATGTGGAGTTAACGCAACATTTACTGCTATAATGTGCCTTAATGTGGCTACTGTTTTCCACTTTACAGCCCTGTTCACAATCTATTCTACTTTTTAAATGACTAACAGTTTTAGGATGAGGCATTTGAGTATCTAATTGTTGAAAAACTACATACAAATACCTGCCATCGTTAGGGAGCAAATGCTCAACCAAAAATAGTCTTTCTTCAATAGTTAACACCAATAAAGCTAAGAACAATGACTAAAACACTGGTATATAGCAGTGATATTCTAAACTCAATTACTTGGCTTAAAACATGAACGTTAAACACAAATTATAGTGCGCAAAAAAATGATTCTAAAAAGTCTACAGTCTTTAAACATACACCCTATATCACAGCTATGCTTTTAACAGGGACAATGTAATTATGCCCACAATGAAAATGAGACAAAGAAGTTCATGCCTTCCGCATACTGCTTACCTCTGACTTTATTTCTAAGTCGCCCTCTAACTCTTTTACCATGTGGGTTACACTGCAAGGACATTCTAGCTATATTATTATCAGCTTTTCTCAGTGTGTGCCCTTTTCAGCAGGACAAGTGTAGAATGGACTCACTACCACTTAATAAGCAGGTTGTAAAATGGGGCTAATTTAGGTTTTTCTAAAACTAGATGTGTTGGGCCAGCTACAAGGCAAGAGGCTGATCAAGAAAGAGATGGGAGGAGGGAGTAAAAGTGGCACTATGGAAACACAGTTTGACATTCACACAAGCTACGCAACTAGCAAAAAACAGGAAACTACATTACACTCCTTTCTGCGACACTTTGCGGTATAAGCTGTAGGATTAAAAAAAAAAAAAAAAGAAAAAGGGCACAGATATCACAGTCTAGCTGACCTTTTCTACTTTTTTTGCGTTCACCCACTGTAAACTCCAGCAGAAAGTTCTGGTTGTTCATCCACTTCTGGACTTTGGTCTTGTTCCAGAACTGGAGTTTTGCATGCACATCCATTGTACAGATCTGGCTTATCTGTATGTACAATACTGGTTTCCTGCTCTCAGGCAAATGCACTCTGATTTTGAAGGAAATGTCCCAAATTAGTCGGCTGTTGTGTCGTTTTGTTCAATATGGCCGGTGGCCAGTTTACGTGTGAGCTGGTGAAATATCTTATGTAAGAATTCTACGTGTGTGTATAATAACCAACTTATCGTGCCCGACTTCTTCCATCAATGTCAAACTGCATTTCTAGTGGCGACTGTTGGTTTTTCCAGCAACTAAAATACACATTGACTGCATGCACATATATTTCTGGATTGTTCTGGAACTAGTTGTTTATTCACTAGTTTTTCATATGCAACAATGAGGGACATTGATTTGATTTGCACTGGCACGGGAATGGTGCAAGTATAGGGAAACCCGATTGCAATGATGTTGAAACCTCGACTGACTGATTAACTAACAGTCCGCTTTTACAACCAGCTTGTTGGGAGGCAGTGGGTCTATTCTCCCCCCTCCCCCCCCCCCCAAAAAAAAATAGGACCATAATGCCCACACAGGGTGGGGGAAAGGAAAAGGATGTCTGGCTGTAAACCACAACACAATGTGCCAGAGATCCCAATGCCCACACAGGGTGGGGGAAAGGAAAGGGATGTCTGGCTGTAAACCACAACACAATGTGCCAGAGATCCCTTAGCTCACACAGGGTGGGGGAAAGGAGAGGGATGTCTGGCTGTAAACCACAACACAATGTGCCAGAGATCCCTTAGCCCACACAGGGTGGGGGAAAGGAGAGGGATGTCTGGCTGTAAACCACAACACAATGTGCCAATCAGAGAAGAATTGCTGTGGACAGATCGAGCAGTATGATGACCATCTGGTTATGTTGACACTTAGCAATACTAGTCACAGAAAACAACCCTGCATGGGTGGGAATTGAATCCAGACCACTAGATGGGCAAGCTAACCGCTATACCACTACACTGACTGATTGACCAATCAATTGCTTTGTCCCCTATGGGTTGCTACCTAAAAGTTTACCCTACCATCCTGAGATTAATAAATCTCAATCTGGATCACAGACAACAAGACAAATGCTAAACAGCCTGTTCAACCCAAAAAGGAAGTTAAAACTAGGCCCCCCAGCTAGACCAGCCAGGTTTAAACTGCAGCCCCGCACAGGTAAGGACTGTGATGATGCCACTACAGCTGCACTATAGGTTGTAACCTCTTTCAGAACACTGACATATGAAATCCTCAATTCAGGCCAATATTTATAATTACACAGGACTCCGAAACTGACCCAGCCTAAATGTCTTGAAAACTAAAGATGGTCGGTGTGATGACTCTATCACTCACTGAGTACCAAGTGATCTATGAAAATCAGTTTAGCAGCATGTTACTGAAGCAGCTGTAGATGCGAAAAGAATGATTCACTCTCCTTCCAAAAAAAAAAAAAAGTAGATTAGACCTACTCATTTTACCATCCAAAGAATTTTCAGTACTCTTCTGCATTATCACATCTCTGAGGCAATTCTTATAGTTAATTCTTACAATAAATTTGTTTCCGTGTCTATTTGTTGGTACACAGACAGAAGTCAGGGAGTCACCATGGTGTAGCGGCTAAATGCACACCTGCGAATCGGACAAGTCGTGGGTTCATGCCCTTATTGTACCAGACTTATTTCAAAAATGACCTTGGCTCCCAGGTCGACACAGCCGTGGAAGGGTAACAGGTAGAGTCCTGGCAAGTAAACTAGCAATATCATGCTGGCATATCACCTAAAAAGTGCTGATTGGTCTATAAAATATAGGTCTAGCCCTATACACCCAATCCTCTGAAACGTGAAGAAAGGACCCTTTACTTAACTTTTACAGACAGAAGCCAACAACGCTGTGAAGTATACTCACAATGATATTACAGTCTTGAGACAACAATGCTGTGAAGTATACTCACAATGATATTACAGTCTTGAGACAACAACATTGTGAAGTATACTCACAATGATATTACAGTCTTGAGACAATAACGCTGGGAAGTATACTCACAATGATATTACAGTCTTGAGACAACAATGCTGTGAAGTATACTCACAATGATATTACAGTCTTGAGACAACAACGCTGTCAAGTATACTCACAATGATATTACAGTCTTGAGACAACAATGCTGTGAAGTATACTCACAATGATTTTACAGTCTTGAGACAACAATGCTGTGAAGTATACTCACAATGATATTACAGTCTTGAGACAACAACATTGTGAAGTATACTCACAATGATATTACAGTCTTGAGACAACAATGCTGTGAAGTATACTCACAATGATATTACAGTCTTGAGACAACAACATTGTGAAGTATACTCACAATGATATTACAGTCTTGAGACAATAACGCTGGGAAGTATACTCACAATGATATTACAGTCTTGAGACAACAATGCTGTGAAGTATACTCACAATGATATTACAGTCTTGAGACAACAACGCTGTCAAGTATACTCACAATGATATTACAGTCTTGAGACAACAATGCTGTGAAGTATACTCACAATGATTTTACAGTCTTGAGACAACATTGCTGTGAAGTATACTCACAATGATATTACAGTCTTGAGACAACAACATTGTGAAGTATACTCACAATGATATTACAGTCTTGAGACAACAACATTGTGAAGTATACTCACAATGATATTACAGTCTTGAGACAACAACGCTGTAAAGTATACTCACAATGATATTACAGTCGTGAGACAACAACATTGTGAAGTATACTCACAATGATATTACAGTCTTGAGACAACAACGCTGTGAAGTATACTCACAATGATATTACAGTCTGGAGACAACAACGCTGTGAAGTATACTCACAATGATATTACAGTCTTGAGACAACAACGCTGGGAAGTATACTCACAATGATATTACAGTCTTGAGACAACAACGCTGTGAAGTATACTCACAATGATATTACAGTCTTGAGACAACAACGCTGGGAAGTATACTCACAATGATATTACAGTCTTGAGACAACAACGCTGGGAAGTATACTCACAATGATATTACAGTCTTGAGACAACAACGCTGTCAAGTATACTCACAATGATATTACAGTCTTGAGACAACAATGCTGTGAAGTATACTCACAATGATATTACAGTCTTGAGACAACAATGCTGTGAAGTATACTCACAATGATATTACAGTCTTGAGACAACAATGCTGTGAAGTATACTCACAATGATATTACAGTCTTGAGACAACAACATTGTGAAGTATACTCACAATGATATTACAGTCTTGAGACAACAACGCTGTGAAGTATACTCACAATGATATTACAGTCTTGAGACAACAACGCTGTCAAGTATACTCACAATGATATTACAGTCTTGAGACAACAACGCTGTCAAGTATACTCACAATGATATTACAGTCGTGAGACAACAACGCTGTCAAGTATACTCACAATGATATTACAGTCTTGAGACAACAACATTGTGAAGTATACTCACAATGATATTACAGTCTTGAGACAACAACATTGTGAAGTATACTCACAATGATATTACAGTCTTGAGACAACAACGCTGTGAAGTATACTCACAATGATATTACAGTCTTGAGACAACAACATTGTGAAGTACACTCACAATGATATTACAGTCTTCAGACAACAACGTTGTGAAGTATACTCACAATGATATTACAGTCTTGAGACAACAACGCTGTGAAGTATACTCACAATGATATTATAGTCTTGAGACAACAACATTGTGAAGTATACTCACAATGATATTACAGTCTTGAGACAACAACGCTGGGAAATATACTCACAATGATATTACAGTCTTGAGACAACAACGCTGTGAAGTATACTCACAATGATATTACAGTCTTGAGACAACAACGTTGTGAAGTATACTCACAATGATATTACAGTCTTGAGACAACAACGTTGTGAAGTATACTCACAATGATATTACCGTCTTGAGACAACAATGCTGTGAAGTATACTCACAATGATATTACAGTCTTGAGACAACAACGCTGTGAAGTATACTCACAATGATATTACAGTCTTGAGACAACAACATTGTGAAGTATACTCACAATGATATTACAGTCTTGAGACAACAACGCTGTGAAGTATACTCACAATGATATTACAGTCTTGAGACAACAACATTGTGAAGTATACTCACAATGAAATTACAGTCTGGAGACAACAACGCTGTGAAGTATACTCACAATGATATTACAGTCTTGAGACAACAACATTGTGAAGTATACTCACAATGATATTACAGTCTTGAGACAACAACGTTGTGAAGTATACTCACAATGATATTACAGTCTTGAGACAACAACATTGTGAAGTATACTCACAATGATATTACAGTCTTGAGACAACAACGCTGGGAAATATACCCACAATGATATTACAGTCTTGAGACAACAACGCTGTGAAGTATACTCACAATGATATTACAGTCTTGAGACAACAACGTTGTGAAGTATACTCACAATGATATTACAGTCTTGAGACAACAACGTTGTGAAGTATACTCACAATGATATTACCGTCTTGAGACAACAATGCTGTGAAGTATACTCACAATGATATTACCGTCTTGAGACAACAACGCTGTGAAGTATACTCACAATGATATTACAGTCTTGAGACAACAACGCTGTGAAGTATACTCACAATGATATTACAGTCTTGAGACAACAACGCTGTGAAGTATACTCACAATGATATTACAGTCTTGAGACAACAACGCTGTGAAGTATACTCACAATGATATTACAGTCTTGAGACAACAACGCTGGGAAATATACTCACAATGATATTACAGTCTTGAGACAACAACGCTGTGAAGTATACTCACAATGATATTACAGTCTTGAGACAACAATGCTGTGAAGTATACTCACAATGATATTACCATCTTGAGACAACAACGCTCTGAAGTATACTCACAATGATATTACAGTCTTGAGACAACAACGCTGGGAAATATACTCACAATGATATTACATTCTTGAGACAACAACGCTGTGAAGTATACTCACAATGATATTACAGTCTTGAGACAACAACGCTGTGAAGTATACTCACAATGATATTACAGTCTTGAGACAACAACGCTGTGAAGTATACTCACAATGATATTACAGTCTTGAGACAACAACACTGTGAAGTATACTCACAATGATATTACAGTCTTGAGACAACAACGCTGTGAAGTATACTCACAATGATATTACAGTCTTGAGACAACGCTGTGAAGTATACTCACAATGATATTACAGTCTTGAGACAACAACACTTTCAAGTATACTCACAATGATATTACAGTCTTGAGACAACAACGCTGTGAAGTATACTCACAATGATATTACAGTCTTGAGACAACAACGCTGTGAAGTATACTCACAATGATATTACAGTCTTGAGACAACAACGCTGTGAAGTATACTCACAATGATATTACAGTCTTGAGACAACAACGTTGTGAAGTATACTCACAATGATATTACAGTCTTGAGACAACAACGCTGTGAAGAATACTCACAATGATATTACAGTCTTGAGACAACAACGCTGGGAAGTATACTCACAATGATATTACAGTCTTGAGAGCCACTAAACAATTTATTCCCATGTGTACATAAAGCTAGCACAATGCCAGTGTGGCCTTCCATAGTTTTCACACACTTGTAACTAGAACTTGTATCCCATACCTGTGTATGACAGAGAAATGTTGGAGAAAGAAGCAAAGCCAACAAATGTCAAAAAGTGCTGTTTAAAACATCTGCATCTTTGGCCTAAAATAAAAAAAAAAATAAAAAAAATATTTTTCTATTACAAATTTTATCTTCTTCTTCATGTTCACCGGCTGTAAACTTTCACTGTTGGTCCACTTTTGAACCTGTTTCTCAATGAATTTGCAGCATCATGTTGTTCCTACAGTCTGTCTGATAATACCATTTGTAACTCTGTCGCAGATGGTTAACAATGAGGACACAAATAACAGACTACACGCCTCTTAGCATGGCATATATTGCTGCATCTCATCAAGTGTGCTGCTACAGTTAAATTAGCATATAATAAAGCATAACAATTAATTCAGTGTGTACAGTAACTAGTGGTTGGAATTTAATACTATTGTGGTCATAAACAGAATTCTTATGATTTCTATGACTTGAGTAAAAATTAATTTTTTTTTAAAGGGCTTTTTTCTGGAATTTTATAGATTAGACTGTAGGTGTAACTAAACTTTGGAATTTAATATTGTTCTGGTCGATAAATAAAGTTCTTATGATTTCTAAGACTGAAGTAAAAAAAAAATTTTTTTTGGTAAATACATTTTTAAGGACTTTTTTTCTGAATTCCCTAACTATGGGTGTAAATAGACTTTGGAATTTAATTTAGTTCTCGTCGATAAAAGGAATTCTATGACCTAAGTAAGTAAAAAAAAAAATTTTTTAATATTTTTTTGGGGGGAATTCCGTATTTATGGGTCAAAGGCATTCTTTTTTACTAGGTCGAAGGGTGAAAGGGTTAAGTACTTTCTTTCTCATCTGGTCGGTATCTGTGACTTGGGGGTTGCAAACGTGATTTGTAATCCTGAGACACCCAACTAAACCCAGCTTATGCAGCCCAATACTATATGTTGTTTTTGAAAAATGGTATGTATAAAGCACGATAGTTCAGAAGCAATGGTAAACTAATGAATGTAAATTGCCTGGTTTATCTATCTATGTCTTTCTCTGCTTAATGGTCACAGGCATGGCTAACGATTGCTTTCCAGGATAGTGCTCGCTCGTTAGCTTGCTGCATGGTGATATTATTAAGTTTCAGCACATTTTTAACTCCATCTATCCATGTCTTTTTTGACCTTCCTCTGCCTACTGATGTTTCCATTCTCATGTTGCATTCTCTTGCAACCGGTGACACTGGGCTCGTTAGCCCAGAAAACCACAACAATTATTTTAAAATGCTAGGGCTAGTTCTATAACATCCTGTAAAGCAGAGCTATTCAAGGGAAAACCCACAGGCTGATTCCAGCCTGCAGAGGCCTAGCAAGGGGTCAGCTGATAGCTGCCAGTTCATCATAATCAAGTGCCTTGCCAGCTGGCGTAGGCATTCATGAGTCGCCACAGACCTCGGTCTTTAGTGTTCTGGATCAATTCTGCTGATGATATTCCTCCATGCCACTGTTCTTAGCCATCTACCATTATTTCTCTTGGTTTGCATCTGCCTCTTTTACCAGTGATATTTCTAGTCGTCACGATATTTTTCAGTGCTCCTTTTCTCATTACATACCAAGAAACTTTGTCTCCTTCTCATTGTTGCTAGTTGTAATGTATTAATGATCTTTCTATGCTGGAGCTCAAGCATGTGCCCCATGATGATCCCAATTTGAAAAAATCAGAGTTGTATAGCCCGGATGTAAAAAAAAAATGCGCAACTAACTTTTTTCTAACCTCAGCTGAGAAAAGAGGCAACCATTCTTCATCTTGTGAAGTACTGCTTTCTGCTTGAGCTATTCTACACTGAACATTTTTTAAATACATCTGCCATTTGCTTTTACCAAGGTACATACATTCTAAGCATGTGTACTTACTTTAATTGTTGTGTCTGTGGACCCACTAAACAACACATCTCCCATGACACACTTACCTTAATGGTTTTGTCTATGGACCCACTAAACAAAAGATCTCCCATGACACACTTACCTTAATGGTTTTGTCTGTGGACCCACTAAACAACACATCTCCCATGACACACTTACCTTAATGGTTTTGTCTGTGGACCCACTAAACAACACATCTCCTATGACACACTTACCTTAATGGTTTTGTCTGTGGACCCACTAAACAACACATCTCCCATGGCACACAGACACCAGACTGGACCCTGAATGTGTGGAGGAAAAACAAACCAGCCGATTATTACACATGTCTGGGAGCTGCAGTAGTCTAGCAGCTGGTGACTGTGGCTGCCAGTTCAAAGGTCCTGAGTCTGTGGGGGATGTCTTTGAGTCAGGGATTTGGGGCTGCACAGTTGTGGGCAATGTCTTTGAGTCAGGGATTTGGGGCTGCACAGTTGTGGGCAATGTCTTTGAGTCAGGGATTTGGGGCTGCACAGTTGTGGGGGATGTCTTTGAGTCAGGGATTCAGGGCTGCACGGTTGTGGGGGATGTCTTTGAGTCAGGGAGTTGGGGCTGCACGGTTGTGGGGGATGTCTGAGCCAGGGATTTGGGGCTGCATGGTTGTGGGGGATGTCTTTGAGTCAGGGATTTGGGGCTGCACAGTTGTGGGGGATGTCTTTGAGTCAGGGATTTGGGGCTGCACAGTTGTGGGCGATGTCTTTGAGTCAGGGATTTGGGGCTTCACAGTTGTGGGGGATGTCTTTGAGTCAGGGATTTGGAGCTGCACAGTTGTGGGGGATGTCTGAGCCAGGGATTCAGGGCTGCACGGCTGTGGGGGATGTCTTTGAGTCAGGGAGTTGGGGCTGCACAGTTGTGGGGGATGTCTGAGCCAGGGATTCAGGGCTGCACGGCTGTGGGGGATGTCTTTGAGTCAGGGAGTTGGGGCTGCACAGTTGTGGGGGATGTCTGAGCCAGGGATTCAGGGCTGCATGGCTGTGGGGGATGTCTTTGAGTCAGGGATTTGGGGCTGCACAGTTGTGGGGGATGTCTGAGCCAGGGATTCAGGGCTGCACGGCTGTGGGGGATGTCTTTGAGCCTGTGGTTTAGGGCTGCATGGTTGTGGGGATGTCTTTGAGCCAGGGATTTAGGGCTGCATGGTTGTGGGGGATGTCTTTGAGCCAGGGATTTGGGGCTGCACAGTTGTGGGGGATGTCTGAGCCAGGGATTCAGGGCTGCACGGCTGTGGGGGATGTCTTTGAGCCTGTGGTTTAGGGCTGCATGGTTGTGGGGATGTCTTTGAGCCAGGGATTTAGGGCTGCATGGTTGTGGGGGATGTCTTTGAGTCAGGGAGTTGGGGCTGCACAGTTGTGGGGGATGTCTGAGCCAGGGATTCAGGGCTGCATGGCTGTGGGGGATGTCTTTGAGTCAGGGATTTGGGGCTGCACAGTTGTGGGGGATGTCTGAGCCAGGGATTCAGGGCTGCACTGCTGTGGGGGATGTCTTTGAGCCTGTGGTTTAGGGCTGCATGGTTGTGGGGATGTCTTTGAGCCAGGGATTTAGGGCTGCATGGTTGTGGGGGATGTCTTTGAGCCAGGGATTTGGGGCTGCACAGTTGTGGGCGATGTCTTTGAGCCAGGGATTTGGGGCTGCACAGTTGTGGGCGATGTCTTTGAGCTTGGGATTTATGGCTGCACGGTTTTGGGGGATGTCTTTGAGCCAAGGATTCAGGGCTGCACGGTTGTGGGGGATGTCTTTGAGTCAGGGATTTAGGGCTGCACGGTTGTGGGGGATGTCTTTGAGCTGGGATTTAGGGCTGCACGGTTGTGGGGGATCTCTTTGAGCCAGGGATTTGGGGCTGCACGGTTGTGGGAGATGTCTATGCCAGGGATTCAGGGCTGCACGGCTGTGGGGGATGTCTTTAAGCCTGGGGTTTAGGGCTGCACGGTTGTGGGGATGTCTTTGAGCCAAGGATTTAGGGCTGCACGGCTATGGGGGGTGTCTTTGAGCCAGGGATTTGGGGCTGCACGGCTGTGGGGGATGTCTTTGAGAAAGGGATTCAGGGCTGCACAGTTGTGGGGGATGTCTTGAGCCAGGGATTTAGGGCTGCCCGGCTATGGCTAATGCTGTCACCACAGACACTGCAGGTTAGGATTTCGCCACCTTTACCGTGAATCTGAACACTGATTTCTGATATACCATTGGTTTAAAGTCGAAAGGATTGATTTCACTGCTGTGAGTTTTATCCCATATAGCTCAGTCTCTCTCAGAAGAATGACTGGCCACCTGCTGAGAGTGTTGCATAAAGCATGAACTCTGTAGCTCCAGTGACAATCCCCAGGAATCTCTGTAACAAAAAAACTGATTACTTTTGTGAACTGAATGATGCAGTCAATAAACTGAACCCATAACCTTCAGAGCCTGAGGCAAACAGTTTAACCTTATAGCCATGGCAACCCTCAGGTTTCACAAGGATTCATCACAATCATCAATTTCCATTTTTGCCGTTATGCATCGGTGACAGGAACAGTCTGCGATCCATTGCTTGATGGGTAGTAATGGCTACTCATTCCATGTCGATGCTGAAGGTCTTTATTGTCATCAATCTATGTGTGTAGCACTATTAAATCTCCTCTCTCAAATCTCTTCTTTTAATATCTCTATAAAATATATATGTATATAGATGTATTTGTGACTGGCTGGTTGTACACAGCTTGGTGGTAAATTGAGGCATGAAAAGCTAGACGTTTTCAAAGCCCTTTGAGAAAAGTGAACAGTGCGGAGACAGAAATAGATTACTTTGGGAGCAAGTAAACAGTGCGGAGACAGAAACAAATTACTTTGGGAGCAAGTCAACAGTGCTGAAAGGGGATTACTGGGAGCAAGTCAACAGTGTCGAGACAGAAACATATTACTTTGGGAGCAAGTCAACAGTGCTGAAAGGGGATTACTGGGAGCAAGTAAACAGTGCGGAGACAGAAATAGATTACTTTGGGAGCAAGTAAACAGTGCAGAGACAGAAACAAATTACTTTGGGAGCAAGTCAACAGTGCTGAAAGGGGATTACTGGGAGCAAGTCAAGGGTGCGGAGACAGAAACAGATTACTGGGAGGAAGTCAACAGTGCTGAAAGGGGATTACTGGGAGCAAGTCAACAGTGCTGAAAGGGGATTACTGGGAGCAAGTCAACAGTGCGGAGACAGAAATAGATCAGCAAGGTTGAAGAGAATAGTCATGTGGGGAGTCACCAGGGGATTTGTCCAACACTCAACATATATTCATGTGTGAGTGTGTGTGTGTGTGTGTGTGTGTGTGTGTGTGGGTGTGTGTGTATGTGTGTGTGTATATATATATATGTATGGATATATCTACTTAAAATACAACTGAGGTGGATAAAAATGGCTGGGAATGCCTATGCACACATCCACACACAAAACATAAGGATGTACTATGTTTTTAAAGTGTAACTTCAACTTACCAAATGACCAACAAATGTTCCCTTGCACTTGAACATGGATATTGGATCATAAGCTAAAGAATATCAATAGATTTATATAAATAATATTTCAAACAGATAAGCTACTACACAGAGAACTGATTATAAAGCACGCACCAAAAACAGTCACTTGATCAACATTTCATACAATAAGATAAAATAAACGCTTTGTACTTTTTCCAAGGCAAGAAAACCAACCACAGCATTAATTGGCTGTTGGTTGTTTTCACCTGGCAACTTTACATTCAGTAGTTTGTGACTGCTTTCTGAGCAGTCGACATTCATATCACTGTCTAACTCAGTGGTCTCACAACCTTTTTCAGGTCGCACCTTCCCCATCTCTCTGAGTATATGGCAAGGACCCCCCCCCACCCCTTAAGTATGAGATAAGACTCCCCCTTTCTTCTTCTTCTTCACTTCCTCTTTTACCGCTGTGGGTGTCAAGGGAGATATAAGGTTCTGTTTCAAGCTCTTCTGCCCGCCTCGACCATAGGCACATCGTGCTGTTGTAGAGTTTCTCTGATGTTATCCTTCCATCTTGTTCTTGGTCTACCTCATGTTCTATGTCCTTCTTCTCTTTCCATGTATGCTTTGTATGGTATGGTGTCACAACATAACAAAATATAATTAAAAACAGGAGGACAATAGATTCTGCAACAAGACAAACAGACAGTATTTAAATACGCTTTGCTCAGAATGTGCTTACAAAAATAAAACATGTCCTTGGCATTTTTTAATAAATAGTATTTTTTTTGGTTTTTTGTTAAACAATTATATTTATAATTACATTTTAAAAAAATATATAACACATAGCTACAAATACAAATACATTCCCGGGAAGATTAACCCGGTAAAAAAATGCCCACAGAGGTCGCATGTGTTGGCCAAAAGGTGTAAATATCGCAGCCATGCTGCAAATGGGCAACTGGGCATATGATGCTAGACCCATGTTTGTGTAGGCACTCGAGGGATGATGTGGTCAATATCATAACCAGCCACCTTTATTGTTCAGGACATTGCCTGGCACCCATGCTGCACTAACCCGGAAGCCTGTCTCCATAAGGTCACTGATAACACAAGAAGAGACATTGTTAAGAATACCAGCATTAGAGAGAAAACTGGAACAAGACGGTATCTTAATTATATAGAAAGACAAAGAATGAAATGGTTTCGCCATCTGGTAAGAATGCAACCAGACCAAACTGCAAATGAAAAATGATACTTTTTTTTTCTAAAGCAGAACATCTGGGAGGAAGATGAGGTGAAAACCAAGAATGAGATGGATAAATGGTGTAGCTGATACCTGGAAAAAAGATGAACAAATCCATCAGCCAAGCCAGCCGAGAAGCACAAGACAAATACAGAAAACCTTGACACTGGGCTACAACCTGATAACACTGAGATGACAAAAGAAGAAGAAAGAAGGAATTTAACACAAAACCAGGCAAGCACCTAGCCCCTATGCCCTCACAACTCATTAAGATGATATTTTACAAGAAATCACAATCATATCTTACCCCCAGCTCACTATAATGATATTTTACAAGAAATCACAATCATATCTTAACCCCCAACTTACTAAGATTAAATTTCACTAGAAATTACAACCGTATCTTACCCCCAACTCATTAAGATTATATTTGACTAGAAATCACAACCATAATTTACCCCTAGCAATCACAACCATAACTTACCCCCCGCAAACACAACCATAACTTACTCCCAGCAATCACAACCATAACTTACCCCCAGCAATCATAACCATAATTTACCCCCCGCAAGCATAATCATAATTTACCCCCAGCAATCACAACCATAACTTACCCCCAGCAATTACAACCATAACTTACACCCAGCAATTACAACCATAACTTACCCCCAGCAATTACAACCATAACTTACCCCCAGCAATCACAACTTACCCCCAGCAATCACAACTTACCCCCAGCAATCACAACTTACCCCCAGCAATCACAACTTAACCCCAGCAATCACAACTTACTCCCAGCAATCACAACTTACCCCCAGCAATTACAACCGAAACTTACCCCCAGCAATCACAACTTACCCCCAGCAATCACAACCATAACTTACTCTTAGCAATCAAACTATAACTTACCCCCCAGCAATCACAACCCTAACTTACCCCCAGCAATCACAACTTTAACTTCCCCCAACCAATCACAACCATAAGTTACCCCCAGCAATCACAACCGCAACTTACCCCCAGCAGTGGCCCCAAGATTGATTCTATTGTTGACATTGGACATTTCTTCCTGCGTGAGAACAGTAACTGAGTCTTTTGAAACAATCTAAAACTTAAATATGGATTAGTTTCTTGCATGAGATCTTATGATCACAAGCTTTCTTCTTCTTTTTCATCTTAGCGTTCCATGGCTGTAAACCCAGTGGAAAGTTCTGGTTGTTTTGGCCTTGTTCCAGAACTTGAGATATGTATGCATATCTGTTTTACAGATTGGTATTTTTGCCTGCAGACTGTTGGTTCCTTGCCTCTTGGCAAATGCACTGCGACTTCAAAGGAAATACTCCCTAATTAGTGATCTTTTATGACATGCTTATTAGAAGTGGAGTGGGCCTATTCCCACCCCCCTTTCCCCCCTCCAATGGGGTCCTCGGACCCCACAAGGGGAATAACATCAATCCTCTTCTTCTTCTTTGCGTTCACCAGCTGTAAACTCTGGTGGAAAGTTCTGGTTGTTCGTCCACTTCTGGACTGCAGTCCTGTTCCAGAACCTGATGTTGTGTGTGCATCCGTTTGACAGATCTGACACATTTGTGTGCATCAATCAAATCAACTTGTAATTTAAGTCATATAAAAATAATGGGCGGAAATAAATGAAGATATTACTTATTAATATATTATACCATTAATATGTTAACGCAAGTAAAGGTTCCATTCCCGAGGTGTAATTAGCATTTGATGCTGGTTCCATAATTCACAAACCAATTGATGCTTCATGGGTGATAAGGGCAATGCCAAGCTGGTCGCCTTTTCCCCCAAGAACATTTCTTGTACCCATTTTTGGCTGGATCGACTTATGAACCCATGTCAATTTTAACAATTCACTTCAATGGGGACTGTACCTATGGCTACAAGCCTGGCAGGCAAGCCTAATTAACAAATTCTGTACACTAGTTATTATTACATTTAAATATATAACTGTGAAACATGAACCTTAGAGATGAACTCAAAAAGAAGATACAAGTATTGTAAATAAGATTGTTCAGACAAATACTTGGTATATCATACACAGACAATATCACAAATGACAAGGTTATCCATAAAAGTACTCAGCACACTGGTAACTATGAACCTCTTATCACTACAGTGAAAAGACTGAAAATGTAATGGTACGTAGATGTAATAAGATCTAACAGCCTCTCAAAAACAATACTAAAAGGCCCAGTAGAGGGGAAGAGGAGAAGAGGCAGACCAAGAAAGACATGGATACAGAACTTGACTGACTGGACAGGCCTCAGGCATGTAACCATGACGTTCATTGCATCTGACCTTCAAAAGTGGAGGCAGCTGATCAAACAGTCAGCACCAACTGGTGACCCGATGACATACAGTGTTAGGGGATGATGATGATGATGACAGTGGACAATGACAAGGAACTTACAGTCATAGCAGAGATGTCTTTCCTGTTATCCATAATTTCCTCCATTATCTTACTCTGATTACGCTCAACAAGCTCTAAAGAAAAGATTATAAAAGCAAACAGAATACAGCTCTGTGAGGCTAAGAGGTTAGTGAAGTCGTTTCACAATGTAATACTCAATATTTATCAGGGCTAAATTTCTGCAGGGTGTGGTTAAATAAAATGACCACTTCCATGGCTTCAAACAGTGGTACGAGAGTCACACCACGAAATAGGCTGAGTCTTTATTATGTCTTTTTTTGTCCTAAGCCTTTCCTCTCAGGCCTAGGGCTGCACATAGGGCAGAGGTCATAGCTATTCCATGTCTGGCAGTTTGTTGCCAGATGTTTTAGGTCTTGGATGTTTGTTAGGCCTATGGTTGAGCCTTCCCTGATGATGGTTCTATGTAGAGTCTCTCTTGGTCTTTCCCGTTATTTTTTCTTTTCTGGTGTCCATATGAAGGCTTGATAGGGAAGTCTTGTCTTGTCCATTCTGAGTGCATGGTTAGCAAGCAGTTAGCCAGCTGTGGATATTGCGGCCAACCTCCATTGTGAAGAGGGCATCATTTGATTTTTTTATTAGTAGAATACTGAAACCTTCTTTTGTAACCCTGTCTATCTCTGAACAAGATAACAATTATCATATCAGGCCTACATTTAAACAATACATGACACTTTACCTAATTCCATACATAACAATGTTGGTGTCTGTGGCTTAGACGTTGCGAACGCGCTTGGTAATGGTGGAGTGCCAGGTTCGATCCCAGCTGCAGACCTTGCGAGTTACATTGGTTTCGACAGTGGTATCAAAAAGCCGACCGTCCAGAAAGCAAAGAAAAACTACTGGACGTAAATCTGGATAGTTGAATAGCCTGGTTATATGACAGTTTACCTAATTCCAAACAAAACATAGCATTTTACCTAATGCCATTATATGACAGTTTACCTGATCCCATTATATGACAGTTTACCTGATCCCATTATATGACAGTTTACTTGATCCCATTATATGACAGTTTACCTGATCCCATTATATGACAGTTTACTTGATCCCATTATATGACAGTTTACCTGATCCCATTATATGACAGTTTACCTGATCCCATTATATGACAGTTTACTTGATCCCATTATATGACAGTTTACCTGATCCCATTATATGACAGTTTACCTGATCCCATTATATGACAATTTACCTGATCCCATCAACACAACATACTCCACTCAGTGGACATCTAAACAGAATACAGCCACAACACTCCCCTATGTAACTACCCCTACGAAACTGTTAACCATCATCTCTTTGAGTGCCCAAAACTCAGCGAGACTAGAAGAATGCTACTCCCTCCGAGACCAGACAAGTGGAACACCTTGTACGGCGGAAAAGAACAGCTTGTGAAAACATGCAAAATCCACTACATGGCATTGGGCCAAAGGGCGAAAGCTCGTGCGCTGCTGGATCGATAACAACAGCAACCTGATCCCATTATATAACAGTTTACCTGATCCTAAAATATAAAAGTTTCTACAATTCCATTACATGACAGTTTCTGTAACTCTATAACAAAACAGGCTACTAGAATTCCATTGACAGTTTCTAAAATTCCATTACATTATAGTTTTAATAATCTTATTGCGTTACAATTTACATCATTCCAAAACATGAGTTTACCTAGTTTCATTACATGACAGTTTCTGTACTTCCATTACATGATACTTTACCTAATACCATTACATAAGATTTTACTCAACTCTATTAAATGACAATTTTGTAAATTCTTTTAAAATAAAAAAAAAATTCTATAATTCTGTTACATGACAGTTTACCTAATTTTATATCGACAGACTTCTCCATATTTTCCAGCCTCTCTGACAGTCGACCCAGCATGGACCTTAGAAATTCGATTTCCTCATCTTTTTGGCTCAGATGCATCTGTTGGAAAAAAAGAAACCCTATAATTATTTCTGAAACAGTCTAGGCTGGAAAATTAAAAGCCACCACGAGGCTACTTCGGTAGTGGCCATTGCAGAGCGGCTAGATGCTTCACTAAAAACCAGAAGGTCATGGGTTTGCTCCCTGGCCGAGCCGGACCTTTTTTTTTTTTTCAAAATTACCTTGGCTCACAGGTCAACCCAGCTATGAGCGAGTACCGGGTGCAGTCACGGGAAGTAAATGCAGCCGGCATGATGCTGACCACATCACCTATCTTGAGCTGTTTGGTTAAAAAAATACAGGTCTAGCCCTATATGCCCTTATGCATAAAGGCGTAGAAAATTGTTTTTTTTACTTTACTACTACTTTTAAGAGAGTGCTTCTGTTCTAAACAACAACAATAATAATAATAATAAATATCCTTTACGGAGCTTCGAAAGTTTTGGGAAACATGACTCTGTATCCACCCCCCTTCCCTCCATAAAACAATTTCCCTTATTTCAGACTTGTAATAACAGATGGCCACATCAAGCGTCATGGTGGCTTGGAAAAGAAGGTGATGGAAGGTGCAATTTAGGTAAGGCGAGGCAGGGGACGACCACCGCGAAGATGGAGACAAGACATTAAAGATGCATTGGCATTGAAAGCACATGGGGCCAGAGAGCTGGCTAGAGAAAGGGATACTTTCGGGTGTGCCGTGAAGAGAGCGACGTTCTGTAAAGGACTTGCTGATTGATGATGATGATAAATAACAGATGATGGCAGAAGTGGAAAAAATATGTAATTTTTTAGCAATGTGAAAAAGTTGCTATGAGAAACTAACACAGACAGTATAGCTGAAGCCACAATTCCCCTTCCGGGGTTCCATTGTGGGGACAAACAGACCCACTGCCTCCCCAACAATAATGCTGTAAGAGTGGACTCACTGGGGGCAATCCTAAGAGAGTGCATCTACAAAGAACCAACAGTCTGCACACAAACAGGACAAATTTGTAAAACGGATATGCACACATCGCTCAGGTTCTGGAACAAAACTAAAGTCCAGAGGTGGACGAACAATCATAATTTTTCCTGGAGTTTACAGCTGGGGAAAAGGCAAAAGAAGAAGAAGCAGCAACGACGCCTGGCTTTATTAAGGCACTGAAGGATGCAAGGACCTTTTTTACACCAGTGGTCCATGTGGCATATGATGCCAGACCCATATTTTTCTAGAACAATTAGCACTTGGTAGGGGTGTGGTCAAATGTCATATGACTGCCTTTTCTTCCAATGACCTTTCCTGGCCATTCTGAGCTAGGTTTATCAAGGAGCACCCAATATTTTATTTATAATTACATTTTTTTAAATGTTAATAAAACTGATTATCACAAGTACAAATGAACTCATTTTTTTAAAAACTGCTTGGAACGTCTTCACCCCCCCCCCCCTCCCCACCTTTAGAGGGAGCTACTCCCCCCCCCCCCCCCCCCCCCCGGAACTTCTTTACCTCCCTCAAGCTGGTGACCATTAAACTAAATACTATGCACACTAGCTCCTTTCCAAACCTACTAGTAAGATAAGTCTTCTTCTTCTTCTTCTTCTATGTTTGCCACTCACAAATCTACTGGTAAGCAACTCTGAGAACTAACCTGCAGATCCACTATTCTCTCTTCAGTCCGCTGGAGGAAATCCTTGAGTCCCTCAAATCTGCAAGTTTTCAAATGTTCCTCAAACTCCTCCTGGGTTCCAACAAAGTAGCACCTGAAACAAATGGATTCAATCATCAACACAACTGGTACAGCACCTGAAACAAATGGATTCAATGATCAACACAACTGCTACAGCACCTGAAACAATGGATTCAATGATCAACACAACTGCTACAGCACCTGAAATAATGGATTCAATAATCAACACAACTGGTACAGCACCTGAAACAATGGATTCAATGATCAACACAACTGGTACAGCACCTGAAACAATGGATTCAATGATCAACACAACTGGTACAGCACCTGAAACAATGGATTCAATCATCAACACAACTGGTACAGCACCTGAAACAATGGATTCAATGATCAACACAACTGGTACAGCACCTGAAACAAATGGATTCAATCATCAACACAACTGGTACAGCACCTGAAACAAATCGATTCAATGATCAACACAACTAGTACAGCACCTGAAACAATGGATTCAATGATCAACACAACTGGTACAGCACCTGAAACAATGGATTCAATCATCAACACAACTGCTACAGCACCTGAAACAATGGATTCAATCATCAACACAACTGGTACAGCACCTGAAACAAATGGATTCAATAAATCAACACAACTGGTACAGCACCTGAAACAATGGATTCAATTATCAACACAACTGGTACAGCACCTGAAACAATGGATTCAATCATCAACACAACTGGTACAGCACCTGAAACAATGGATTCAATTATCAACACAACTGGTACAGCACCTGAAACAAATGGATTCAATGAATCAACACAACTGGTACAGCACCTGAAACAATGGATTCAATCATCAACACAACTGGTACAGCACCTGAAACAATGGATTCAATCATCAACACAACTGGTACAGCACCTGAAACAATGGATTCAATCATCAACACAACTGGTACAGCACCTGAAACAAATGGATTCAATTATCAACACAACTGGTACAGCACCTGAAACAATGGATTCAATCATCAACATAACTGGTGCAGCACCTGAAACAATGGATTCAATGATCAACACAAGTGCTACAGCACCTGAAACAATGGATTCAATCATCAAAACAACTGCTACAGCACCTGAAACAATGGATTCAATGAATCAACACAACTGGTACAGCACCTGAAACAAATGGATTCAATTATCAACACAACTGGTACAGCACCTGAAACAATGGATTCAATCATCAACATAACTGGTGCAGCACCTGAAACAATGGATTCAATGATCAACACAAGTGCTACAGCATCTGAAACAATGGATTCAATCATCAACACAACTGCTACAGCACCTGAAACAATGGATTCAATGAATCAACACAACTGGTACAGCACCTGAAACAATGGATTCAATGAATCAACACAACTGGTACAGCACCTGAAACAATGGATTCAATGAATCAACACAACTGGTACAGCACATGAAACAATGGATTCAATGAATCAACACAACTGGTACAGCACCTGAAACAAATGGATTCAATGATCAACACAACTGGTACAGCACCTGAAACAATGGATTCAATTATCAACACAACTGGTACAGCACCTGAAACAATGGATTCAATCATCAACACAACTGGTACAGCACCTGAAACAATGGATTAAATCATCAACACAACTGGTACAGCACCTGAAACAATGGATTCAATCATCAACACAAATGGTACAGCACCTGAAACAATGGATTCAATCATCAACACAACTGGTACAGCACCTGAAACAATGGATTCAATGATCAACACAACTGGTACAGCACCTGAAACAAATGGATTCAATGATCAACACAACTGGTACAGCACCTGAAATAATGGATTCAATGATCAACACATCTGATACAGCACCTGAAACAATGGATTAAATCATCAACACAACTGGTACAGCACCTGAAACAATGGATTCAATCATCAACACAACTGATACAGCACCTGAAACAATGGATTAAATCATCAACACAACTGATACACCACCTGAAACAATGGATTAAATCATCAACACAACTGATACAGCACCTGAAACAAATGGATTCAATGATCAACACAACTGGTACAGCACCTAAAACAATGGATTCAATCATCAACACAACTGGTACAGCACCTGAAACAATGGATTCAATGCAGACAACTTTCAATAATCAACTCAACTGGTGCAGCACCTAAAACAATAGATTCAATGCAGACAACTTTCAATAATCAACACAACTGATACATCACCTAAAACAATGGATTAAATGAATCAACACAACTGGTACAGCACATGAAACAATGGATTCAATGAATCAACACAACTGGTACAGCACCTGAAACAATGGATTCAATGAATCAACACAACTGGTACAGCACCTGAAACAATGGATTCAATCATCAACACAACTGGTACAGCACCTGAAACAATGAATTCAATTATCAACACAACTGGTACAGCACCTGAAACAAATAGATTCAATGATCAACACAACTGGTACAGCACCTGAAACAATGGATTCAATTATCAACACAACTGGTACAGCACCTGAAACAAATGGATTCAATGATCAACACAACTGGTACAGCACCTGAAACAATGGATTCAATTATCAACACAACTGGTACAGCACCTGAAACAATGGATTCAATCATCAACACAACTGGTACAGCACCTGAAACAATGGATTCAATGCAGACAACTTTCAATGATCAACACAAATGGTACAGCACCTGAAAGAATGGATTCAATGATCAACACAACTGGTACAGCACCTGAAACAATGGATTAAATCATCAACACAACTGGTACAGCACCTGAAACAATGGATTCAATCATCAACACAACTGATACAGCACCTGAAACAATGGATTAAATCATCAACACAACTGATACAGCACCTGAAACAATGGATTAAATCATCAACACAACTGATACGGCACCTGAAACAATGGATTCAATCATCAACACAACTGGTACAGCACCTAAAACAATGGATTCAATCATCAACACAACTGGTACAGCACCTGAAACAATGGATTCAATGCAGACAACTTTCAATAATCAACTCAACTGGTGCAGCACCTAAAACAATGGACTCAATGCAGACAACTTTCAATAATCAAAACAACTGATACATCACCTAAAACAATGGATTCAATCATCAACACAACTGGTGCAGCACCTAAAACAATGGATTCAATGCAGACAACTTTCAATAATCAACACATCTGGTGCAGCACCTAAAACAATGGATTCAATGCAAACAACTTTCAATAATCAACACATCTGGTGCAGCATCTAAAACAATGGATTCAATGCAGACAACTTTCAATAATCAACACATCTGGTGCAGCACCTAAAACAATGGATTCAATGCAGACAACTTTCAATAATCAACACATCTGGTGCAGCACCTAAAACAATGGATTCAATGCAGACAACTTTCAATAATCAACACATCTGATGCAGCACCTAAAACAATGGATTCAATGCAGACAACTTTCAATAATCAACACAACTGATTTAGCACCTAAAACAATGGATTCAATGCAGACAACTTTCAATAATCAACACATCTGGTGCAGCACCTAAAACAATGGACTTAATGCAGACAACTTTCAATAATCAACACAACTGATACAGCACCTAAAACAATGGATTCAATGCAGACAACTTTCAATAATCAACACATCTGGTGCAGCACCTAAAACAATGGATTCAATGCAGACAACTTTCAATAATCAACACATCTGGTGCAGCACCTAAAACAATGGATTCAATGCAGACAACTTTCAATAATTAACACATCTGGTGCAGCACCTAAAACAATGGATTCAATGCAGACAACTTTCAATAATCAACACATCTGGTGCAGCCCCTAAAACAATGGATTCAATGCAGACAACTTTCAATAATCAACACAACTGGTGCAGCACTTAATGCATCAGAATATTTAGCTCTGATGTCTTCTTCTTTGTTCACCGGCTGTAAGCTCTAGCGGAAAATCCTGGTCGTTTGTCCATTTGGACTCTGGCTGTGTGCCAGGACCTGAGTTTTGCGTGTACATCCGTTTTACTGACTTACTTGTGTGCAGTTGATTGTTCCTTCTACTCCGACTTCGAAAAAAGTCCCTAGTTAGTTGACTCCTACGACATGCTTGCTGGGTAGACAGTGGATCTATTCTTGTTTTCCCTACAAAGGGGCCCCGGAACATATACGGGAAAGCTCTGATGTCAACTCAGAACGGCTGAATAGAGTTGAAACACGCAGCATGATTATAAATGAGGTAACCCACACCATTTATCTCACCATCCACTTGATGCTATTTTTCACCGCTTTCTTCCATTCTGGCTGTTACCAGCCTTACACTTGGGCTCTACCAATACTTTGTATAAAAATCACCCTTACTGTCTCTATTTGATAGCGGACAGTAAGAGAGAAGCAATGTGTTACTAGACTCATGTTTTTACCTCATCTCATATTTGATCAATCAATCCATTCATCCACTAATACAGTCATCCATCATTCCATCCATTCATCTACCCACCCATCCATTCATCTACCATTCCATTCATCCACTAATACAGTCATCCACCATTCCATCCATTCATCTACCCACCCATCTATCCAGGACACACTCGCCTATCCACACCACCATCCACACATGCTGTTTTCCCATCTATCCCTTCATCGCTCCCTTACACTCTGGTTGTTACCAGTCTTACTCTCGGGCTCGACTGATTACTTTTGTATAACAAGCATCCTTACTGTCTCTATTTGATAGCTGACAGTAAGAGAGAAGCATTTATCTATCTATCTATCTATCTATCTATCTATCTATCTATCTATCTATCTATCTATCTATCTATCTATCTATCTATCTATCTATCTATCTATCTATCTATCTATCTATCTATCTATCTATCTATCTATCTATCTATCTATCTATCTATCTATCTATCTATCTATCTATCTATCTATCTATCTATCTATCTATCTATCTATCTATCTATCTATCTATCTATCTATCTATCTATCTATCTATCTATCTATCTATCTATCTATCTATCTATCTATCTATCTATCTATCTATCTATCTATCTATCTATCTATCTATCTATCTATCTATCTATCTATCTATCTATCTATCTATCTATCTATCTATCTATCTATCTATCTATCTATCTATCTATCTATCTATCTATCTATCTATCTATCTATCTATCTATCTATCTATCTATCTATCTATCTATCTATCTATCTATCTATCTCTATCTATCTATCTATCTATCTATCTATCTATCTATCTATCTATCTATCTATCTATCTATCTATCTATCTATCTATCTATCTATCTATCTATCTATCTATCTATCTATCTATCTATCTATCTATCTATCTAGCTGCCTGTCTGTCGATATTTGTTTGCAAGCACAGGCACCACTTTTATTCCACGCGGGTGGACTAAGGTCATCCCCACAACCCAACCCCGGTTACGCCCTATAGGCCAACCCCTCCCTCCCTCCTTAGACACTTAGTGTACGCTGTTGGCGTCCAGCCCGTCCCTTTTTTTGCCCCTACCTGCGCGTTGGAGGTATATAGGCTGACCGTCGTTTCATTTGAACGAAGATTTTTCGCCAGGGACACTAGATGAGTATCGTTAATTTTATACATTAGAGTCCTATGTAGTCACTTCATAGTTAGAGCCTTTTTGTGTATATGTACTGTGTTGTCCTTTATGTGCTGATGAAGGCTAATCGCCGCAACGTCCTTTGTTTGTTTATTGTTATCGATTTTGTAAAGCTAACATAAACTAATTGTTGTTTCTTACCAACTTTTTCTCTTCCCTATAATTTTCTACTCCTTATAAAAACTAAATGAGGTAACAAACATTCAGTAACTGATATTATTTGTCAGCATAAAGAGTGCTTCAGGTTCTTCTTTCTCTTTTTACATTCTCTGGCTGTAAACTCCAGCAAAAAGCTCTGCTTGTTCATCCCCCTCTGGACTCCAACTTCAAATGAAAACCCAAATTAGTCAACTTTCATGACTTTCATGACAAGCTCGTTAGGGGAGCAGTGGGTCTATTCTCCTCCCCCCTCCCCTTTTCCCAAAGGGCCCACTGAACCCACAGGGAAATGTCTAGAAATAAAACTGTAGGTAAGCAAGTAAAAGTATAGAACCCTTTCTATGCCAGTCGCTCACTGGGTATATGAAGTTAAGACTCATATTTGTATAGACTAAATGGCGAGTGATGTGGTCAATATCACATCGGCCACCTTTACTTCCCAGAACATTGCCTGGTATCAATTGTCGGTTGGGTCAACCTGGAAGCCAGGGTCAATGTTGTCAAATTCGCCTCAATACGTATCTGAAGCCAAGAAGATCAGGCCAGCATGCATGCATCTAGCCACTACATTACTGCAGCTCCCATCTAGAAATTACATTACTGCAGCTCCCATCTAGAAATTACATTACTGCAGCTCCCATCTAGAAATTACAATACTGCAGCTCCCGTCTAGAAATTACATTACTGCAGCTCCCATCTAAAAATTACATTACTGCAGCTCACATCTAGAAATTACATTACTGCAGCTCCCATCTAAAAATTACATTACTGCAGCTCCCATCTAAAAATTACATTACTGCAGCTCACATCTAGAAATTACATTACTGCAGCTCCCATCTAGAAATTACATTACTGCAGCTCCTATCTAGAAATTACATTACTGCAGCTCCCATCTAGAAAAAACATTACTGCAGCTCCCATCTAGAAATTACATTACTGCAGCTCCCATCTAGAAATTACATTACTGCAGCTCCCATCTAGAAATTACATTACTGCAGCTCCCATCTAAAAATTACATTACTGCAGCTCACATCTAGAAATTACATTACTGCAGCTCCCATCTAAAAATTACATTACTGCAGCTCACATCTAGAAATTACATTACTGCAGCTTCCATCTAGAAATTACATTACTGCAGCTCCCATCTAGAAATTACATTACTGCAGCTCCCATCTAGAAATAACATTACTGCAGCTCCCATCTAGAAATTACATTACTGCAGCTCCCATCTAGAAATTACATTACTGCAGCTCCCATCTAGAAATTACATTACTGCAGCTCCCAATCTAGAAATTACATTACTGCAGCTCCCAATCTAATGTCAGGTTCCCTTTACACGCCAGTGGTGCACCGGACATATGAAGCTAGACCAATTGGCCCACGATAGGTCATGTGGTAAATATCACACCTGCAGCCTTTACTTCCCAGGACTTTACCTGGTACCCATTTAAGGCTGGGTAGATCTGGAAGCCAAAGTCATTTTTTTTTAAAGTCTAATTAGTTCGGATTTGAACCCTTGACCTTTGGATCCACAGGTGAGCGTCTAGTTGCTACACCAATGCGGCTTCCCAAAATAATGTAGGACTAAGCATAAAAATTAAACATCAGTTACTGAGAACAATCATTACCCAAATTTCTTGTATGGACAGTGCACATTGTTACAGACTCTCAAGTGATCTTCCAAATCCTGAAAGTTAACACACAGTAATGACTGTCTGGGTATCACTATGTGACATGACAACAACAAAAGTGTGAACTAGAACTGAACAAGTACAATTTAGGAACACGTTTTCAACAAGCAGCAAATTGAAAAACAATTTAATAAGAAGTCACACAGTTGGAAAATACTTTGTCAAAGTACCCTGAGCAAGATTGTTACGTGTTAAAACCTTCTTTACTTCTTCTCTGTGTTTTGTAGTATCTATGCGATATATACTTGCACTGTTTACTATAGCAGATAGGCTCACAGTTTTGCAGGGAAATGTCATATCTCAGAGTATCTGCAGACAAGAAGCACCTCCTGCACGAAGCCCTGGGTAGAGCTAAGGGTCACAGACTGAAAAGAGGAAGGTCTTGGATGGCGCAAGCTGAAGACACAGTTTGACATGTGTGCAGGCCTGATAAATTTGGGCAAGGAGAGGAGTGGGTCAAGGTGTCCGAGCAAGTTTCAGACTTGTGTAGGGTTCTAAATACTTTAAGTCGTAAGTGCAGGGACTGGCCAGCTGGTGCTGCAGAATCAGAACTTCAACAAATGATTCACGACAATTACTGTCCAAGTGATGTGATTATCTATACAGATGGCTCTATGTTAAAGGGCAGATCAAGTGCATGGGGGTTCATAGCAAAAGCGTATAGATGTCGCTTAGTGCAACAAAGCCTTACATATGATATCACATCTAATTTTAGAATGGAGCTAGAGGCAGTCACTGCTGCCTTCTGCTGCCTTGAGAATCAGCTGTACACACATAGTTCCATCAAATAACATTTTGGATAATTATTCTCACATGTATCTGGCATGTTTCTTTTCAAATGATCAGCTCTTATTCTGTCTGCAGTCCTTTTCTCATCCGTCCCTATCATTTAATCCCCCCCCCCCTTTTCCATGTGATTCATGGCATAAAGTTCCCAAACATCCACATCAATACCTGTATTATTCATTTCCCACTTTCACACATACATGTAAAGTGTTAGGAGGTTGCACATCAGTCTTCTGTGGAGGGCTGACAAGCAATGAACCAGGCTGATATACTGAATGCTCTACAAGATGTCAGATGTTTGCAGGATTCAAGTGATGACTGTCCATCTGCAACCACGATAAGACTGCAAGAACAGCAAGTTGAAAGGGGGTGCGGCCAGACAAGAGCACTCTATGCAGAAAGTCAAAGAAAAATATAAAACTACACAGAACTGGTGCTCTTGGCCACTACAAGCTGTGAGATTTATTGAGGAGGGGATCCAAGCTTTTATAGACTGAATGGTTCAATGTACAATAAGAAAGATGTGTCAAATAACTAAGATATTAACTTTCTAGATATGCACAGTTTAGAATTGGGAGTCTGCTATTATTCACGACTGGCACACACACGTTTTGGACTATGGTTGACATGCGAGGTGGCAAAAGAGGAAGTGAAGAAAAACAACAATGAGAAAATGCTTTAATTCTCTTTTTTTTCCTCTCCAAATCAACATGTTACACCCCCTTGGTACAACAATTTTATTTCTGTATAAGTGTACAGATTCAAACCTTTTTCAGTAGCGGAGGACAGTTGTTGTTGTTGGGGCACTCCACCATCATGTAATCACAGTCACTTTCATGTTCTCTGAAACACCAATAAATGCATCACCATCTTGTGCCATTAAATGTGACACTCCCCCCATCATGTAATCACAGTCGCTTCATGCTCTCTGAAACACCAATAAATGCATCACCATCTTGTGCCATTAAATGTGACATTCCACCATCATGTAATCACTATTCTTTCATGCTCTCTGAAACACCAATAAATGCATCACCATCTTGTGCCATCAAATGTGACATTCCACCATCATGTAATCACAGTCACTTTCATGCTCTCTGAAACACCAATAAATATGGAGTAGAGTGGACTTCCGGTCAAAATGGACGCTTGGCACGGCCAATGTTTTGAGCTGTGGCAAATGTTTTGCTCCTGCCAGACGGTGGCCGTTGCATTTTTGCTCCACTTGTAGACTGAAAGGATATAGTTTCGTCGCCCAGCTTCAGAGTTGAGTGCATGGCGTGACACTGTGAGCTGTGGATTTCATTTGGAATGTTTTTTGACTGTGACCAACGTGGTGGTGTGAATTGTAGATTCATAAAATGGCACTGTGCCTGTTGTCGCAATATTGGTAGTGTCATTATGTGATTAAAATTGATTGTGTGTGCAACTGCTGATCTGTTGCTGGTACCATCCAGGATGAACTGCATTTCTAATGTCGGACTGTTTGTGTTAGAACTTCGGATGGCTACTGTATGCTTTTAATGCGTGTGAATGCTAGTGCATATGCTAAGACAGAAGTCTGTCAATCTTTCCACAAGGGACTGTGATAAACTTTCTGTGTGTTTTTCGTTGGCACAGGAGCCGGAGCACCTATGGGGTGACCCGTTTGCTATGAAGCTGAAACTAAGATTACCAGATTTCAAGGGTACACCAATAAATGCATCATCATCTTGTGCCATCAAATGTGACACTCCACCATCATGTAATCACAGTCACTTTCATGCTCTCTGAAACACCAATAAATGCATCATCATCTTGTGCCATTAAATGTGACACTCCACCATCATGTAACCACAGTCACTTTCATGCTCTCTGAAACACCAATAAACGCATCATCATCTTGTGCCATTAAATGTGCCATAATGCTCATTGTTTATTTCTCCATTCCATTTATCCTGTGCAATCCTTTTGATATTACAGACGTAATCCAGCCCAGCAGCTTTGGCTTTTCTAATGAATGTTTGTTTTAACTACTGTCTGGTGAGACTGATGCAGCGGGGAGTGACGAGAGGTTCTGGCAGATGCTCGAGGCTCAGAGGAAAGGCAAGACCGACGTTTAATCAGAATGCTACTGGCACTATTAGTATCGGAACTCTTCACTGGCTGCTGAGGATGGGAACGGAGCACTTACGGAAATGCTATGAGTGCTCTGATGCCGGTTCTTGAATCAACTCAACTCTGTTTGTTTTAAGGTTTTTAATTGACAGCCTAATTTATACAATCCATGTTTCCATTTCAGTGCCTGTTATGTGATTCTCTGCTTGTTTCTTCTGCGGATGCGTCCCGTATAGAGTCACAATTACTGATACCAACAGTTATCCAGACACTTCTCTTATATTTCTTCCTTTTCTGTGTTTAATGTATGTAACTTTCATTCCATGTCTTTATTAACAATAAATCAGAGCTGAACACATTCCAGTGTGTCGATAACATGACACTGATAAACTGCACTATCTAACATGAAGATTACTGCCCAAGACAAAAAATAAATGGTGCATGAGAAGAGTAACCCTTTCACCCCATGAATGCAAAAAAAAAATTTTTTTTTTTTTACTGCTTACTTTCTTTATCTTTATATATTTCAAGAAAATAAATGTATAAAATGTATATCAATACATACTTAACGAACCTGTTACTGACCTTTGTACAAAATGTTTTGAAGGATTTTTTTCTGGAATTCCAACTAATTTATTTAGTGTTTCAGGGGCACGAGGGTTACAGTAAATTAGCTGAAACAATGTCAACTCACCTGCGGCAGCTGATTCTGAAGGTTGCCGGACACTTTGAAGGATCAAACACATACTGTTTGCATCCTACATCATACGTGCAGCCATATTTGCAGTGTATCACCAGCTCCCCGATCTGCTCAGACACTGCGATGTTGGATACCATAATAACCAATCGTTGATCATCCACCGGACAAATACCTAGGTACCCGGACAGTGAGGGAAAAAAATAAATAAAAACCATGCGATTATAGATACTCCCTGTACCGATTCTGGGGGGGGGGGGGGGGGGGGGAGTTAGACCCTCTGTCCAATAAAATGCATGTTGTAAAAGGTGCCTAATTAGGGACCTGTGGAAATAGGATGTGTTGGAGAGAAGGTTGCAGATGTCACAGCTTAGCTGTAAACCACAACACAACTTGTCAACTGCGCCTTTAAGAGCCATCGGAGAAGAAGATGGATCACAGCTAATCAACTGGCGGCTCTTTACTCTTTTTTGTTGTTGTTGTTGCTTAAGCTGTCTTGCAAAAAGTGTTCAACAAGCACATTAACATGTGGCTAGTCATTGGCAAAGTGTTGCTCTCATCACAGCATGCCAGAAAGTCATTCAGTTCCCTTTGCAACTTGTATGCCAGGGTGTCTTTGATATCCTAGGTCCACCATGTTCTGGCCATCCCTTACCTGCCCCTTCTTCCGGCAACCACAACCTCCCTGATTCTTCGCACCAAGCCATTATGGCCTTTAACAGAGCTGAGTTGAGCTGATTCAAGAACAGACATCACAGCACTCAGGGCATTCCCATAAGCACTTCGTCCCTATCTTCACCAGCCAGTGCATAGTTCCAATACCCACAGTACCAGTAGCATTCTGATTATACATCCTTCTTGCCTTTCCTCTGAGCGTTGAGCATCGGCCAGAACCCCTCATCACTCCCAGTTGCATCACTCTCACCAGACTGGTGATCAATTTGTTCCTCTGAACTGTACACACACTCCCACTTACAGTCTTTAACATTGCTAAGGTAATTCAGGTTACAAGAAACGATACTGTTTATGAACCAGTTCCCCTTGATATTATTTAAGGATTTCTGAAGGCTGAAGTTAAATAAAATAGAGGACCCCTTTCCACACCTTCAGGTTTTTTGGGTACATAGGGCAATCTTATTTTTATAGATCAATCAGCACTCAGTGAGTGATGTGGTCAACATCACGCCGGCCGCCTTTACTTCTCAGGACTACAGCTGGTATCCACTCAAGGTTCAGCTGATCTAGAAGCCAAGGTAATGTTTGAGAAAAATCCAGCTCCGCTAAGACCCGAACATACAACATTCCAATCCATAAGCGAGCAGGGTGAAGGCTGAAGAAGTCATCTAAACCTTTATGGTTGTGGAAAGCAAGGGAAAAATTACCACATTATTTTTCCTTTAAAAAATGAATGAGCGAACAGAATTTACTTTCAAAGGGTCATAAACTGGAAATGCAGACCTGTCTTAGATTCAGCCCTTCCAAACACTCATCTCTCACACAGAAATTGTAATTTATCTTTAAAGCATGTTATACTCACATAAGAATATACACATGACTATCAAAAAAAGCATGGATGTTAAATGCATACATTCAAATATACATATATACCACACTCATACACATATAAATGTGTATGTGCATGTGTGCGGGTGTGTGTGAGAGAGAGAGACACACAGAGAGAGAGAGAGACAGAGAGAGATAGATAGAGAGAGAAAGACAGAGAGAGAGAGGGGGGCAGAGAGAGAGAAAGAGCCACTCTGGTGTAGGGGCCAGAAGTAGATGTTCGCCTGCAGATCTGAAGGTCGTGGGTTTAGGTCCTGATAAAGCCTGACTTTTTTCAAAAATGACCTTGACTTTCAGGTCGAACCAGCCTTAAATGGGTATCCAGTATATTAAAGAACCACAGAAAATGAAGTACAACGATACTTCGACTGACGAAGATAATTCATTCCGAAATCACATTTTTTAGCCGAAATCTTTGTTAGCCGAAATACGACTGATGTTAGATTTAAGCTATTGACAGTCTCATTCTGTTAGCCTGTGCATCCACTAAAACATTCATTAACCGAATCCAAACTCATCAGCCGAGGCTGAAAAACAAGAAAAATATCTGTTAGCTAAAAATTGGTGGCCTGGAGAGAACAGTAATGGAGAATGCAGTTTCTAGAAAACAAGACAGTTGCCAACTTCCACAGAGGTGAATACAAGACGTCAAGGATGCACACATGATTCTAGAACTGGCTAGAGGAAGAGAGATTTTCAGGTGTGCTGTAAAGAGAGCGAGGGTCTGTAAAGGACCTGTGGACTGGTGATGATGAGCTGACAAATTTTCCAGCCATGACATTCATTAGTTGAAGTATCTGTACAACAGCTTCAGACAAATATTCAATAACACAAATGAACTCACCATCAGCAGAGGTCTGAACACATGTCCTGCAGTATGTGTGCTGTTAGATAAACAAGGAAACACAATGAACACTCAATGTTCACCACAAATGTTCATCTCAAATCATATGTATTTGTTTGTTTTCACTGACAGCATGAGAACTTTTGCTGATGTGTGTTTGGATAATTTAAAAAAAATGTTCACTGGGTTGAAGAATGAAGACCAAAGATTAGGATTTGCATTTTCATCTCCAGAGTAAGAAGCAAAGACAAAATTCATAATCTGTTTAAATCAGCACTAATTACTAGCATCATGCTAACAGACTACAATTAGGGGGGCATACAGAGAGAATGGCAAATCAGAGAAACAAAACCTGCATACACAAGAAAAATTGAAGATGGCAGAGAGATTATATACAGGCAGACCTATGAATATATTGGAATCAGCAAATGAAAAGAGAAAGCCAATCACAGAGAGGAATGGAGGCGGGTGATACATCCTCAGCAATGAACCTCAAAGGCTCGGAATGCAGAAGACTTACAATAATTAATACCCAACAAAAATCATCAGCCTCACCAAGGATAGAAAGCAAGCCCCACCATGACATGTTTACTCTTCAGCTACTCACATCTCTTAATGAAGATACTAAAACCATGGGAACTGGAACTCTGCGCTTGCTGCTGAAGTTGGGAATGGAGCACTTATGGAAGTGTCCCGAGTGTTGTGATGTTAATTAAAAATTCAAAATTCAACCACTGGTACTGGAACTATGTACTGGCTGCTGAAGATGGGAACGGAGCATTTATAAGAATGCTCCGAGTTCTGTGATGTTGGTTCTTGAATCAACTCAACTGAGGTCAAAATTCAATATTATTTACAAGAAAGATTTGCTCATGATTTACAATGAGATTTATGAAAACTATTTATTTATGTTGCAATCTAAACAGATAGACATATTAAATTCATAATACAAAAGTCAAGTTGAGCTTTCATAGCACTAGGAATATTGTGAAAACCAAATGATACTGAACAGGGTTTCAAACTTTGAATATTTAACTCTAAAATAATATCAACACTGCCAAATGGAGCAGAGACTTTTTAATCGACTTGCACTGCATGGTTGATGTACTTGATATAGCATGTCAGCATCTTCTCCAACTTGAGAGATCATCCTCACTAAACACTGATCGAGTCCATAACTGTTTGATCACTTCTTGAGTATATCCCTCGGTGTGCAATGGCTGATTTCAGCACTGCGTGGGTTTGTGCTTCTTCTTCTTTGGCAACCATGCTGTGAATTGTTCTTGTTTCACTCCTGTTAACTTGCTGTACCTTCAGAGCAGTCTGGTCAAGATTGCAGACTCACAATCATTTGATTCCCATAAACATCTAACTTCATGCAGGGCATTCAGAATATCAACCTGATCAACTATCGTTCACCGTCTACAGCAACCCTTCTGTCTGTAAACTTATTGTCTCCTCCATTGCTCGTTCACCTTCTAAAGCCGTCCTTCTGTCTGTAAACCTATCTTCTCCTACATGGCTCGTTCACCTTCCACAGCAGCCCTTCTGTCTGTAAACCTATCTTCTTCTCCATTTCCTTTTACACCTGCATGCCCTGCTCAAAAATTACTTATGCTATTCTAAGACTGTAGCAATCATTGTGTAGTACCTGTATTTTGCATTGGTTTTTGTCTAGCTCTAGTTTAACTGCACCCGCCTTTCTTTCAGTTGACTTGCTTTCTTTAACTATCGTCACTGTTTTCAACTTTCTTTCATATTTAATTTATCTATCATCATGTTATCTCATTTTAACTTGGGTACTGCCATTTGTGGCTACTCACACAATTCAGGAATAAATAAAGTAAGAAAGAGATTATATCAAATAAAACAAAGCAGTTTTGACGACTTCTTTTTCTCCTGTGACTTCATCAAAGTGGGGTTGGGGGGTGGGGGGGGGGGGGGGGATGTGGGCTCTTTCCAATATATTGTATAAGATGGTCTTCATTGAGAGTTTTGACACAATTCACATTTGAAACATTGTAACAATAAAAAAAATGTGTCTCTAAGTCAAACTAAAATGTTCTGGGAAGTAAAGGCAATGGACTAGATCACATACTTCAAAAAATTCACCAGCACACACACACACCAAAAAAAAATAAAAATGAAATAGTACAATGGTAACTGTAATTGGTTCTCCTGAAGAAAAATAATGATAAAGATGATGATGATGAGTATGATTTTTTTTTAACATTCACTGGCTGAAAACTCTGGCAGAAAGTTTTGGGTGTTCTTCCACCTTCAGACTCTAATGTTCCAGAACCTGAGTGTTGCGTGCACACTGATTTCACAGATCTGGCTCATTTGTATGCATACTCTTGGTTTCTTGCCTCTCAGGAGGATGCACCCAACTTCGTAGGATGCTCCTACTTAGTCAGTTCCTACTAAATGCTTGTTGATGAGGCAGTGGGTCTATTCATGTTTCCTCCACAATGGAGCACCAGAAATCCGCACGCCCAAGTAGGAATGTGATACGATGATTAAGAATATGATAATGACAATAAGAAGAACTATCAGAAGAATGGAATAAACACTGTAACTACCATTAAAGCAATACATTACAGCCAACTCACCCCACATGCTACAATAACTGGGTCCTTGAACACCTCCCCACAAATCCTGCAGAACAACTTCTTGTTGGGACTGTCCACAAACACCAGAATGTCCTGCACACCCAACAACCAATATTACATACAAGTACTCAATTAAACCAAACATAACGCAATGAGGAAAATCTGACACAAACACCAAAATGTTCTATACAACCAACAAAAAATATCATTTACAAGTTTCTAAATTAAATACAAATAAAAACAATAACAGTAATATGAAACAAACACCAAGATATCTTTACAACCAATAGCGGAAATTATATACAAGTCTTCAAATAAAATAAACATCATCATCATCAAGTGCTTTGCTGACTGGCATAGGCAATCATGCCTCTACACAATATGCGAACTACAACTGCGTGTATCTGTTCCTGTGTTGACACCCCTCCGTGTCAGGACAAAAGACTGTCAAGAATCTTCTCCCACTGTCTTCCTCTGTCTCTCTTTCCACAGATCTTTCCAGTGGTCACAACATGGGACGTGTGGCTTCGCAGCTAATGAATGTGGTTGTTCATGGAGCTGAATATTTAGAGATAAATGTAAGAGCTGCAACTTACATCTTCATCATCCATCATAGAAATAGATGATGTGTTTCGCTGAGCTGATGGAGGTGACAGGTACATGCTATGACTTTGTATATGATGGAACGATACACTCTGCAAATACAATGTCACATTTTAAAATGTAAAAAACTATGAGTCATCACCAAAAATCAGTTTACAACACAACATTATCATTATTTATCTATCAGATACTATCTACATTAAAATGTAAAAAACTATGAGTCATCACCATTCATCAGTTTACAACACAACATTATCATTATTTATCTATCAGATTTTATCTAAGATATTAACAGATACTACAAGGTCCGACAATTAACTAATGAGACTAATTCCATAAAAATTAAAATAATCAACAGCTGAAGATATAACCTGTATCTGATTCAAAGCGAGCGCCTTGTGCAATGATACAGCAAGTGGCACTATCTAACAAACACTGGAATGACCTCTGCAGTTCTTCTGTTGTTATGGCCCTTAAAGTCGATGTTATGGCCTTTTGGATGTCATCAATATAGGTAAAGAAGCGTCCTTTCAATCGTAGCTTTAATTTTGGGAATAGAAAATAATCACAAGGAGACAAATCTGGGGAATAGGGTGGAAGGTTGAGAATACACACTTGTTTTGGGGCCAAAAATTCCTGTTTTGATGATGTCTCGTGGGTACTCGACCCGCTGATGTTTTTGGTCATCAGACAACGAATGTGGTACAAACCGTCAAGCAACTTTTTCTTGTCAAAATCTTGCACTAAAATGTTATAACCACCAGATTAATCTGCCATCATCTTAACAGTAAAACAATGATCTTTTTTATCCGTTCTCTGACTTTTGCAGAGTTCATCATTACGAACAGAAATTTGGCGTCCAGGTCTGGGTGCATTAGTAATCATTTCCACACCACTTTTGAAGCGTGAATAAAAATAAAAAGTAAAGGACCCTTTTCGGCGCCCTTATGCGTATAGGGCATATAGGGCAAGACCTATATTTTTATAGACCAATCGGCACAAGATGGGTGATGTGGTCAGCATCACGCCGGCCGCCTCAACTTCCCGGGACTGCACCCGGTACCCACTCAAGGTTGGGTCGACCTGGGAGCCAAGGTCATTTTTGACAACAGTCCGGCTCCACCAGGGAGCAAACCCACGACCTTCCAATCTGCGGCGAGCGTCTAGCCGCTCCACCACGATTCGTGAATACCACCTGAAAATTTGTGCACTATATAAACAATTATCCCCATAAACTTGTTGCATCAATCCAACTGTTTCAATGGCACTTTTTCTGAGTTTTTAAAAAAGAATTTGATGTTAGCTTTTTGCTCAGTGCTGATTATGTAACAATGCACCTCTGACTAGGTCAACAAAATAGCGGCTTGTTTGTTGTCTGCTTAACGAGCAGCAATGAAAAGTTGCCAGATCATAGATGAATGTTGCCGCTTTAGATTCCATGTTTTGCTTCATAGATGACATTTTTGTCTTGGCCATAATAAAATCAGTCTCATTACATAATTGTCAAACCTTGTATCTATGATACTATCAGATAGGTTATGGGAACAACACCTTGTATTGGATTCAACAAGAAATGGCAGATCAAGTGGTTGGGCAATAACAGCCATTACATCTCAGAAGATCAGCTAGAATAGCACAAGGACAGCCATTAAAAAAATATGGATCAACAATATTAAAGACACTTTACAGCGTGGCAATAGCCAGTGCCAGCCAACCAGCGTGCATTAGATCGCAAATTATTCCTCCCCACAATACCTAATGGCAGAATTGGTTTATGATGATGGCGATGAACTATCTTCTTCTAATCTTCCTCCAATTACTTCATCAAAATAGCGACCCAGGTGGGGGGTGGGGGGGGGGGGGGGGTGTGATTGGTTAGAGGAGGGATTTTCCATGTGCTTTTTCTAATGAGTTATACAGGTGGTTCTTCATTTCTTCAAGGCTATTCTTGATGCTGATATTCAATCTTATGCATGGTCTTCTCCGTGTTTTGAATTATATTTCTTTAAAGTGACTTTAGGAGACGATCTGCATTCTTTGGTCATGTCACAAGAAGAAACAAATGAGTATGTCATGACGGTATGAAAGTCGAAGGGGAAAAGAGGCTGAGGGAGATTGAGAGAGAGGATGCTGGACAGTTGTTTAACATTGTGCCATGGAAGATCATGTGTGTCAGAACTGACTGAAAGTACAAGAGATAGAAAGTTATGGATAGACATGACTACAAATGCCACACAGCATGGACTTTAAGAGGAACAAGGTGACTCGTTGTGAGAGGTTGTACTTGTCTATATTTATCAGATGGCTAAACCATGTCACCTGTTGCTCTCAACTATTTAACTACTGACTGAGTAAAAGTAAAGAAAAGAAAGTATTCTTCTTCTTCTTCATGTTCACTGGCTGTAAACTCTGGTGGAAAGCTCAGGGTGTTCATCCACCTCCGGACTTTAGTCTTGTTCTAGAACAATGAGTGCTGCGTGCACATCTGTTTCACAGAGTTGGCTTATTTGTATGCAGACTTGTGGTTCCCTGCCTCTCAGGCAGATGTACTCCGACTTCAAAGGATCTCCCCAATTTGTCGACTCCTACGACAAGTTTGTTAGGTAGGCAGCAAGTCTAGTCTTGTTTTCCACACAATTGAACCCAAGAACCCGCTTGGGGAAAGAAAGCAGTGAGAACATAGCCTTTCTTCTAGTAGCCTACACATGTGTGCAGTTGGTCATGCCTGTCCACAGCCTTCTGTTCCATGTACTGCTAGGGATGAAGAAGTGCTGCTGAACTACAAGGGGTGATGCACCAGCAGCAAGGCTCACACTGGTCAAGAGCTGCCTACACCTCTCCACGGTCATCCTAGAAATAAGTTCCCAACCAGGGGCCTTTCTAACATAGAGATCTGATGTTTCCTTTGAAGTCAGCGTGCATCTGCCTAAGAGGCAAGGAACCAACAATCTGTACACAGATGAGCCAAATCTGTAAAACATAAGTGCACTTAACACTCCAGTTCTGGTACGAGACCAAAGTCCCAGAAGTGGACAAACAACCTGAACTTTCCCACCAGAAGTTTACAGCCAGTGAACATGAAGAAGAAGGTGTACTGCCAAATATTTCTGTCATGTGGTACAGCTGTTCCTCCAAACCATGACGCCAAATGGCTCAGCAATTTATCTCTCAGTCTACTTCTGCCTATCTTCCCCTCCAACTGTACTGCTGTCATGACGCACTCCAGTTTTCCTTGCCCCATGAAGTGCCAAATAGTATGGACTGAGGTCTTCTGATGCAAGTAACCAGTTCTTTTTGTCAGTTAATTTCAAAATGTTTTAACACTCTTTATGATATTTTCATCAACCTTTCATGAAACCGTATCTCAACAGTTTCTACATACTATTGTTCGTCCATCACAAGTGATGAGGACCACTCTTTATTCCATCCCTCATGAAGCTATAGTTGACTGTCTGTGAGTCCCGAGGCGAATAAGCCAAACACTACATACTGATCTATACCGGAAGAGTAATGTGGTTAACACTGTGGCCACCTTTGCTTTCCAGCACATTTCTGGTACCCATATTAGACTGGGGGAGCCGCTGTGGTGTCGCAGCTAGACCTAAATTTCTGATCCAAAGGTCATGGGTCCAAATTTAAACAGAGCCGGACTTTTAAAAAACAACCTTGGCTCCCTCCCAGGTCGACCCAGCCTTAAAGGGATACCAGGTAATGTCCTGGGAAGTAAAGGCGGCCGGCATGATGTTGACCACATCACCCATCGAGTGCTGATTGGTCTGTACAATTTAGGTATAGCACTACATGCCCAATATGCCTGAAGCCATAGAAAAGGGTCCTTTACTTTTACTTATGTTAGGCTGGGCTGACCATGAAGCCCCAATTAACTATAAAAATCTGCCCCGGCGTAGATTCAGCCAAAGGCTTTTGTTCTAATGATAAAATATAATGAAATTCAAAACAGCAGCAAATATGTTCAAGGAAACTCACGGATCCTGTGTCTCCTCTGTCAGATTCAAACGACATTATTTTTCTCTTCAACACCTCAGAATTCTAAGCATCACCATCGTCACTGTCTACAAAGTCAAGAAAAAATTGACACATTAATGAGGCTGATATTTATTGTATAATGCAACATATAATAATATGATTCCTTCCTCTTTTAGTGAGCTGCTGTAGCACAGCAGCTAGCCACTCATTTTGTTTGGTCTGGAAGTTTTGGGTTCAAATCTGCACCGCAGTCTGACCAAGACAATCTGGCCGGCACTCTACACTAAGAGGAAAGGCAAGGTGGACTTACAATCAAACTGCTACTGGTAATCCCCGTGCGGGTTCCTGGGCCCCATTGTGGGAAAATCAATGACAGACCCACTGTCTCCCCAACAAGCATGTTGTAAGAGTCCACTAACTGGGGGTTTCCGTCGAAGTCGGAGTGCATCTGCTTGAGAGGCAAGGAACCAACAGTCTGCATACAAATACGTCAGATGTGTAACACGGATGTGCATGCAATACTCAGGTTGTGGAACAAGTCTAAAGTCCAGAGGTGGCGGACCAACCAGAACTTTCCGCCGTAGTTTACAGCCAGCGAACACGAAGAAGGAATTGGTAACTTCAGTATTTGAACACTTTGCTAACTACTGAAGATGAGGACAGAATGCTTATGGGAATGTTCTGAGTGCTGTAATGTCAGTCCCTAACTCAATCTTATTTTTTCAGTCATCATCATCAATTGCCTTGCCGACTGGCATAGGCGATCATGCCTCTCCACAATCTGCGATTTTCAACTGCATGTATCGTTTTGTGTATTGACACCTTTCCATACCATGACAAAATACTGTCAAAAATCTTTTCAAGTGTCTTTCTTTGTCTCTTTTTCCACAGATCTTTCCAGTGGTCACAACATGTTCCATTTTCCCTTTTCTCATACCATGACCAAAAAATGATGACTGTCTCTTTCTGATGTCTGTGATAAGATAACTCGCCTCTTTCCAAACATCTGGGTTGCTCCTCTTAGCTGTCCAAGGAGTTCTAAAGATTCTTTTGTAAAACTTCATCTCCGAGGTCTCAAGACATTGTTTGACTTGTTTATTAATTGTCCAGGCTTCACAGCCGTATGTTAAAACTGGCTCTATATAGCATGTGAGAATTCTTTTCCTAAGCTCCAATGTTATGGAGTTATTGCATAAAATGTTCATTTTGTAAAATGCAGTTTTGACCTGTCCTACTCTATTCTTTATCTCTGTGATACATCTTCCATTGGACGTTATCCACACATCTTTCATTGGACGTTATCCATGTGACTAAATACTTAAATTTCTGTATTTGTCCCAAAATAACAGCTTTGACTTTTATTATACATTAAGGCACTAATCTCTTCTTAGAAATCACTATTACTTCTGTCTTCCCATTATTTAAACTGAGGTCCATTTTATCACTTTCTACCAGTTCCTGTAGCTCTTTCTGGCTTGTCGATATCAAGACGGTGTCATCAGCATAATGGAAGTTGTTTATGTTATGCCCAGCAACTACAATTCCTGGCATATTCACGGTATAATGCAAATAAATCAGGTGATAGCACTCATCTTTGTTTTACTTTTCTCTTTATGCTCTGATATGTGCCACCCCCACCCATCCTCCACCCCCCCCCACACACACACACACAAAGTGGCTGTGGAACCCACACAGCGGTGATAAATTTATAAAAGGGGAAGGGTGTTTCATGCATTAGCCAATCCAGTTAGTGGTTTGTGTTCAATCCCAAAATGGCGTGATTTTTAATTTTTTAATTTCAAGACACAAGGGTTTGATTTCAGTGGCAGTAAGTTTATTTGTGAAAGACCATTCTCGTAGTTTTCAGATACTCGTATAAGAGTCGCACTGTGGAAGAGATAGGAGCCTCTCCATAGAGTGCTCTCAAACTGTGTGTGAACTGTAGCCAACTTTCATTGCTGAGATGGCACAGAACTACTTTTTAGAGCCTTGTATCCCAAAGGCAGAATCTGCTTTGGGGCTACAATTACTGTCAAAGGTTAAAGTCGGCAGGATCGATTTCACGGCACCTGGTTTTATCCCACTGGGCTCAGTCGTGTCTCCGCAAAACAGCTAGTAACCCGCTGAGAGTATCACAAAAAGCATAAACACTGTAGCCCCAGCAACAATACCCAGGCGTCATCGTAAAAACTGCATTCGTGAACAGACCAACGCAGCCCTGAAATGAACCCACAACCTTCATAGTACAAGGTTAAAAACCTGACCACTTCGCCATGGAGACTCCTTCCTCCCTTTTTTAACCCATTTAAAAAAAAAAAAAAAAAAACATAAAGTAGCCAATCATACCTAATATCCATTTGAGTAATGTGTAAAATAACTATTTCTTTGTCCATTCTTCCCAACAGGTGTTCATACATATGGAAAACAGTTTACATGTGTATGACACACCATCAATTGACCTGGAAAATACCAGTTAAATAATCTACATCAATAACTAATAGTTTTCTAGTCATCTCAAACACATGAGCATACATACAGCTGCATTAGGTTGTAGTAGCAGGCGTTGTTGGTGTTGCGGTAGCAGTAGTGGTAATCTTGGTAATCTTAGTTTCAGCTTCATAGCAAACGGGTCACCCCATAGTTGCTCCACTCCTGTGCCAACGAAAAACACACAGTAGTTCGTCACAGTCCCTTGTGAAGAGATTGACAGACTGCTGTCTCAGCATATGCACTAGCATCCACGCTCATTAAAAGCATACAGTAGCTATCAGAAGTGCTAAGACAGTTTGACATTAGAAATGCAGTTCATCATCGCTGGTAGCAGAAACTACCAACAGATCAGCAGTTGCACACGCGATCAATATTAATCATATAAGGGCACCACCAATTCTGCGGCGACAGGCCACGAGCCATTTTCTAAATCTACAGTTCACAACACCACCTTGGTCACAGTCGAAAAACATTCCAAATGAAATCCGCAGCTCACAGGGTCGACGCGATGAAACTATATCCTTTCGGTCTACAAATGGATCCAAAATGCAACGCCCACCGTCTGGCAGAGGCAAAAAATTTGCCTCTACGCGAAACAGTGACCGTGCCTGGCATCCATTTTGACCAGAAGTCCAGTAGTGGTAGTTGTGATTATACAAAAGATGGCTTGGTCAACACTTCTGGGTAAAAACTGGAGCATAGTTTTTTTCTTTCTTCTTACATTATGCCTTTGTACGACTGTCTAAATTATTCTTTCAGTACTGGCACTTTGAGACACATGGTGTCAAATCTTAAGGCAGTAATAGTAATACTTTAATTTTAAAATATCCTGTTCCACACTGAAGGTTATAACTGGGATCAAAAGTGTTTAATGAGTTCTCAGAATATATTTTTGTTATTTTATATATCATGTAATAATTTATTTAAGACATTTACATAATTTTTTTTAAATATAAATATTATCCTGTTCAGACATTTTTTGTATGTTGTGCTTAAAACAGATGATTATTTAAATGTTACTAACATTGTGTCATTGAAATAGTGGATCTCTTATGCCCTTTGCACATGTTGATTACCCTAGTCAAGTTTAGATTTACAAGTAAACATCTTCAAAGATCGGATGGGCATTTCTTTAACTTTCTATATGTGGACTTTAGTAATAAACTGCTTTCAGTTGCCACACAGGTCTCAGGGACTGTCTCTGTATAACAAGTTTTGCCATTGTCATAGGTGAGGAATGAACAGGCAGACAGATTGGCTGGATCTGCACCACAAGGCAGATGTGGTCAGGGCCCTTTGGAAACAAGCAACGGAGTCAGAAGCGAAACAAGATTATGATGGCCTGGAGAGAACGAGGCATCTGGGTGTTTTCAGGGGGTCTGACTGGCTCACTACACTCAGGGGAAAAGCAAGACGGACAAATAACCAGATTGTGACCCGTACCATTAGTATTGGAACTCTGCACTGGCTGCTGAGGATGGGGTCAGAGCACACACTGGAATGCTCTGAGTGCTGTAATGTCAATTCTTGACTCAACTCAACAAGTAGTTTACAGAAATTCATACATCAAGTTATTGGTTTTCTGTCAAGTTTAATATTTCTTACACTCCAGCAAGTTGTGCTCTGTTTTACTGTACTTCTTGCATAAATCACAGGTTTATTTCTGTAAGGTAAAGAAAGCCTGTCCAGTCCACCTTCCACCACACATGTCTACATAGAATTATCAACATTTTCTGGCCAGATACAATCTCAAACACTAAACTACTTCAAGTCACAAACCAAGAAACTCTAGACAGTATGATAACCAAGAGAAGATGGAAATGGCTTCGTCACGTTATGAGAATGAATCCTGATATACCTGTCAAAACATGGATAATAGAGGGAAAGAGAAAAAGGAGCGCCCAAAAACAACATGGAGACGAACGATGGAAAGTGACCTGAGTGTGGCATCTTTGACATGGAAAACTGCATTGAAGATTGCACAGGACAGGAAAGCATGGAAAGTCCTCTCTGAAGCCTCATGTGCCACTAGGCATAACGAGAACTGAGGTAAAGAAAGCCTGTCCAAGCTGTAGTCTAACAAAGTTTTGATTGCAAGGAATTTTTAATTGAATCTGTTCTTTGACTTTGTCTTTTAGGAGCATCGATCAACTTATATGAATGTCTACCCTTCAGATTTAGCTGCCAGATTAACAATTATTTCTCTGCTTTACATTTATAATCAACGATTTGATGTCTCCTGTGCTCACAGTTACCTTAAAAGTTTATCATTATTTGCATCTGGCTTTTTATTTTTTGCTTTCGTATCTGCAATTCTTAACCCTTTGAAAATAAAGTTTATTTGTTGGTTCGTTCATTCAGCATGTATCCTGATGTGTGCAGAAAACCATAAAAACAAACAGCACTGAGCATCATATCGGGTGGAGATATGCTGTAGCCAGGAAGATTTCCATTAACTCTTTGTGGACATATCGCCACTTTAGTGGCATCTGAATCCAACAAGTTTGGACTGATCACCACTTAAGTGGCTACTTGCACTGACACTC